CTTTCAACTTTCAAATATAAAACTACGAGTACGATACGAGGACATGTAATTTAAATTGCTAAATTTAATTTCCACTTTACTATTTATTTCAAATATTTAGACATGAAATGACAGGTACAAGAAGATAACGTATACTTCGGATAACAAAACTACGATAAATCCATGTATTAAAAAAATAGAAATACCTAAATCTTTAGAAAACAAAAAGGCTAAAACGTGAATCTTTGAATTGAAGAAAGTAACGGGAAATAAAGATGAATTTGAAAGATCAATAAAATTAAAAATCGAACAAGGATTGTCTATGCTAGGATTACAGACAGTGCATTGTGAATGAAAATGGTGGGAGCATGTGACTTAGATTAATAATTAGATTTTTATTAGTTTGATAAAAATAAATATTTAAACGAGGAATATGAGTATCCCGTCTAAATCTTTTGCCAAGTTTCTTATAATAAACATTGACAAATGATTATGTTTTAAAAAGAAACGATTATGGAACAGAAATTTTATGACAGATAGAAGACGGGAAGGGACGGGACGGGTCAGGACGAGACGGAAATGAACATGACGGGTTTCCATTCTAAACTACACATAAAACAATTCAAACTAAAGCCAAACCCAAATCCGATTGAACATCTCTAAGCAAACAGTAAGAAATGTTTTGATTAGTTTAAAAAATAAACACGTAATATCACTTATCATTTTCATTTAAAAAATGTTAAAATTGTAATTTTGAAATTTTATCATGTAATACAATATCTATATTTTACAACTGTATGTCTATATATAGTTTATCAAATAAACTCATATAACAAAATTTTACCGAAATAACATCTACTTAAAAGATCGTAATTTTGTAAAAATAACTCCGCACGTACGTGCGGGTCCATCACTAGTTTATTTATAAAAAAAAAGAAACAAAAAAAGGGTGAAAAAACCTTTTTTATCCATTTGAGCTGGATTCCATCCATTTCACCGCCATTTAGCAAACATATTTTTTTATTTTCATAACATAAATTTTGTTCATTAACAATATTATTATAGCAAAAACAAAAATAAGTAGTTAGTATAGTATTCAGTTTAATATTTATCAGAAGAGAAACCCTTAAATTGAGGAGGAAAAACAGCTGCAGGGTGTAGCAGACACACATATATATATATATATATATATATATATATATATATATATATATAATGATATTAAATAATAAAAAATGTAAGAAAGTGATGTTGTTCATCTATAGTAAAATATTGAGAATATTAACAAAACAGGCACTTTCCAACTTCAATCTTTCGAAGTAGGAACAAAATACAGTAACCTTTGACAACTCAGCAAAAGGCTCCTGTACATGACATTATTGCCTTCCAACATCTTGAGCGGGATGAGGGATGAAGAACTCTGAGTGGATTGCTACCATATTCATGAATGACGATGATCTTGTTGTAAATTGTAGATTTTTACTTTATTCTCTCCGTAAAGATTAAATTTTTGTGATTGTAATGAAAACTATTGTTTTGGGATTACAAATATATTATAAAGATAATCATCATACAAAAAAACTAAACCCTAATAGATTGTAAATAGAAAACCCAAACACAATATATATGTACCTTCCCAGTGAAAAGTTTGAACGCAAACATTCTTTACAAAAAAAGAAAGAAGACATGCATGATCACCACAAACATTTGTGGCTTTATCCTGAAAACGTTCCTATGAAGTCCTCCAATTCCAACGAGGAGGCCAAGTTATTCATTGAGAAAAAAGAGCAACACAATTTTGATTAACCAATTGATGCTTTTATACTTGAAAAAATTGATGCATTTGGTTATAATGTTGTTTACCACTAAGTTGCTCGAACAAGATAGTTGTTTCAGCCATAGCTAGTGTCTTGTGTTTCCAGTCACTCACAAGCTCGAGCCCAACCATAAATTCTTTTCCTCTCACATCTTCAGTGACTAAAAAACAGAGTAAATATCTAGTTAGAGAAACTCAAAGACTTTACTATCATGTATTTTCTATAGATATTTCAAACATTGAATAATTTGTGTACCAATGTTAGCCATTTGTAAAACTAGAGCCTCGGATACAACTAATTCTACCCTTTAATCATTTACCATGATTTTACCAGAAATTTTGTAGAGATTACAATAAATTAGCAAATATTCATCAAGACTCTGATTTTGTATGCAATCGCAAACAGATCCAAACCGAGAAACAAGAACATGAGAGAGACAAATAGGAAACCTTGTAAGATTGAAGATCATTGGAGAATAATCAAAGAAAGCCACCGTAAGACTGGATTTGGAGATCTAAATCCGACGGAGGAGACGATGATACAAACGCGAACGTCTTGAAGCGAAAAACGAACAAGACCGGAAAATATAACAGTGGTCGCGCAGCTGCCATGGCTCCATTATCGAATGAAAGCTTAGATTTCAATTTTTTCCCTTTTCGATAAGATGAGAGAGAATACACCGAAGAAGAAGAAGACGTCACCAATTTAAGGGGTACAATCGACATTTAACAATGCACTGAGTACCTATTTTGGTAAGGATTTCGGAAAGTGCCTAAATTGAAAGGGACCTCTAAGAAAAGTGCCTAATCTGTAATTAACTCTAAAATATTTCATAAATATAGATTAATAAAAAATTAGGTTTCAACATTGAGCTAGTTTAATTTTAAACACAATTCAAGATTATAATAAGATAGTATTGTTTTTTTTTTAACCCTTTATAATCTCATCAATAGTATAAATCAATAAGTCTACAAAAATATTAACGTTACCTTTCAAGATAATTTTCAATTATTTGTAATTGATTACTAAAATATTAAAAAATAAGTTTCATTCCTTTTCTGAATATATACCGAAATAAAAAAAGTCTATTTGATAAATTAAAACTTTTGATAAATCAATGGATTTACATTCATAATATTGTGTCACTCTTAACAGCCTAACAGTAATGGAGAGCCGTAGGATGCAAATCTGAATCTGAAATTAAGAAGGGATAAGGATCATTTGTTTGAATTTAAGTTTGAGAGGATTCTTCGATCTTCTTCCTTCATTCCTTTGGGCAATCCACTAGTGCAGTCAAATAATGTGACCATCCAATCATCCTTTTCCTTCCTTCCCCAATTCCCACACAGACACACTTTGTTTTGATTCCTCATTTTCCTAACTAATACTAATCAAATCACTAAACACACCTTTCTTCTACTTCTTTTTTACTAACCCCAAATACATACAAAATTTATGTTTAAAAGTCATCATTCTTCCTGTTCTTCCTACTCTTAGCATTATTATTTATTCATTTGGTTTAAGCAGATCTCTCTCTCTCTCTATGTCTCGCCTGATACGCTTTTTCCTCTCTTTTGTATAGAAAAAAAATTAAAGTGTATTGGAAAAGGTAAATATAATCCCTTGCGTTTGTTGCTATATGCCCAAATATTTGTGTTTTCGGGTTTTATTCATTATTTTCATGTGACCAAAGTCTTTTATCTTTCTTTTTAACGGTTGTGATTACTATTTTCTATTAACTTTTATATATATATATATATATATACATTGATATATAGGTAATGTTCTTTTTAGAATAGTGTGACTCATTCAAAATTAACTGCAATTGTAATCGTGAGTGATTCCAAAAACTTCACTGTCATTTTATAACTTTTTTTTTTTTTTCATATCTGACTCATCTTCTTTTCGTTAAAGCTCTGTTAATGGATTCTAAGTAATTTTCAATACAGCTTTAAAATAAGATAAGAGTTATGTTGTTTACATTTATGGCGACTATAAAATTTTAATATTTCAACCGCAGCAACAAATATAGCAAAGAGATGAAGAAGAATCGAAGACAAAGTGAAAACGTTTTTCTATTGTAATCGCAGCCGCTGCGACTCAATTACCGAACATAGCCAGTTATAAAACCAAATTACCATCAATTTATTGCTTTTTCTTTGAGAAATAATAACCATTTGATTAATTAAACTATGATGCATCCTAAGATGGTCTTCTATGTGTATGGAATTTTGGCTTACACTTGATCATTTCGTTTCATATGTTGGATTATAACGTATGTTGATTCTTTTTTGTTAAAGATAAACCATATAACTAATGTGTTGTTTGTGTATCTTAAAAAAAAAATCATTTTAGCAATAGAATATATATATTTTTTAATTTAACATATGATATTTTTTATTCAATGTTCTCAAGTTTGAATTTTATTTTAGTTTCATGTGGTGGCAATTTTAACAAATTTTATTTGATTACGGCTAAAAAGTTCAACTTCAACTTTATGCTTACTACATGGAAACTAAAAAAAACTTAAGCTCACTAAAATATTTGTGAATAGATTTACACTTGATTATAAAGGTACACATATCCTCAGAAAAATCATATATAACATTTGGAAGATATGGGTAATTTTATAATCAAAGATATTATTGTAATTTATTTTTCAAGTTTTCAATAACTTTTAGTTTCAAATAGGGTTATTCTGCTCTATGTCTATGTTTAATTTTGTTTTCTTCACAAAAATGCGGTTTCAAGAAAAGACACAAAGCATTGATTAATTATTATTATTATTATAATTTTTTTGTCATCCCATTGATGAATTATGATATTTGAGCAATGTGATTAAAATCGTAAGCTAATTATTGTCGTGAAATTTTATTGTGATATTAATATTTAAATATTTTTTATTAAATGAAAAAAACAAAACTGAAAGAAATAAGGGTTAGAAAATAGAAAGAGAAAGGAATATGAGCATAGTAGAAGGGTAATTAAATTACTAAAATAGCAAAGCATATACTATAGTATTTAATTAATTATTTGAAGGGGGAAAATAAATAAATAAATAAAATAAAATAAAGAAAAAGAAAAGGAAAGAAACAGCTGTAGTCTACATTACACATACGAATCGTGGACTAGCGGCACCACCACCACCTCTACCTACTAGGCTCCCTTCTCTCTCTCTCCAATTCCCCAATTTCAGTTTTTGCCATTTTTTTTTCTTAGTTTACTTCTTCTTCTTCTTCTTCTTCTTCTTCTTCTTCTTCTTCTTCCCCGGAGCGAGCGAGCTAGCCTTTCTCTCAATTTTATGCAGCTCTCTCTCTTTTTATTTTTCAATCCTCTTGCAGTCAAGCCGACTCCTTTATCGTATAATTTCGTGTTGGGAAATTAATTTGTCGAACATTTTATTTTGATTAGATGGAACCACCGCCTCCTTCTCTCTCCTCCACCGCGGTGGCTTCCACCTCCATCCCCGCCGCCACCGCCCCTGTTCCTCCTCCTCCTCCTCCTCCCCCTCACCTCACTTCATCTTCCCCCGACTCTCTTGACTCCTCCCCTCGTTCTCGCACCACCGATGTCTGGGATGACCTTCCTGCTCCCTCCGCCGTCTCTTCTAAACTCCGTCTTATGTGCAGTTACGGCGGCCATATCCTCCCTCGCCCTCACGATAAATCCCTCTGCTACATGGGCGGCAACATTCGCATCGTCGTCGTCGACCGTAACATCTCTCTCTCTTCTCTCCTCGCTCGTCTCTCCAACACCCTCCTCGACGGTCGCTCCTTCACCCTCAAGTACCAGCTCCCCAGCGAAGACCTTGACTCTCTCATCTCCGTCACTACCGACGAAGATCTCGACAATATGATCGAGGAGTATGACCGTACCATCCCCACCTCCAATTCCACCAAATCCTCCCGCCTCCGTTTGTTTCTCTTCTCCTCCAAGCCTGAGGCTACTCAATCTATGGGCCAGATCCTTGAGAGCTCCGCCAAGAGCGACGATTGGTTCCTCAAAGCTCTCAACAGCGCTGGTCTCCTCAATCGGGGATTCTCCGATTCTGACACCAACGTCAATCGTTTACTTGGTTTGGACGATGCTCTCGCTCTCCGCTCCAACAACAACCAGGATGCAGATGACGGCTCCGTCAAAAGCGCCAAGCAGCAGCAGCAGCAGATCCAGCAACCTCCTCCCCCGCAACAGCAAGGAGGCCAAGATGTTCACTGCTTGCCTGATTCTCCCATGTTGGACACCTCCTCTTCTTTTGGCTCTACTTCCTCCTCTCCCTCTCTCGCCAATTTGCCGCCGATTCGTGTACATGTTGAGGAATCCAGCGCCGGCGTTAGGACTATGCCAGATCAGAGGAATCTGGGAATCGAAGAACAGTTCGCACGGTTCAACGTTGGGAATAAGCAGCTCCCGCATCAGCAGGACGACGGATTCGCTGCCCTCTCTTCACCACCGCCGATGCCTGTCACAATCGCCCTTCCTGCTGCGTCGGTGAGTGCTGCTGCCACCGTCTCAAATGAGTCACATGCGCGGGTTTTCTCGGACGATGAGAGATCTGATCACGGGGTGCCTACTGGGTTCAGGAAACCTCCAACTCCGCGTTCCCAGCCGCAGAATCTGCCGCCTCAGCAGGCTCATCAGCTGAAATCAAATAGCGGCGGACACGAGCTGCCATCACCCAATTCCGTTTCCAGGTACTCTTTTCCTTTTTCTTCCCATGTGCCTCAAATATTTGATGGTTTAGTAGTTTGATTGGTGAGATGCTGATTGTGTTTGCTATATATATATAATGCCTCAGTGATAGCAGTATGAGCAACACTATGTTTCACCAAAGACCTGTCTATCAAGAACCCTTTGCTCAGATGTCTTCAGCTCCCACCGGTATGATCAACCCCTCGGATCCAAGTACACTCTTATCCCAGAATCAGAATCAGGACCCAAGCTACATCCTTCACCCCCAATTCGAGCAGCAACCTGCACAATCTCAGCCACAGCAGCAGCAACAGTTCATACACACTACTGCTGCACCTCAATACATCCATCACCATCCCTCTAGCGGCCTTCCTGTCCCAACTTACATCCAGGTTTACCCTTCGCAACAGCCGCCGCAGCAGCAGCAGCAGTCCTTCCACCAGCACCCAGGTCGACTGGATCAGCAGCCTTATCCTGTTTATTATGTTACTGCTCCAGTCCCACCTAGGCCCTACAGTATGCCTGTGCCACAGTCTGCAACTGTTAGCGAGGCTCCAGGTTCTCTGTCTTCTAACCATCTCCAGGCACCTCCCAACGCCACCATGATGCCTCCACCTCCTAGCAACCACATGAGAAGTGTTACTGGTGGCAAACCTGAGATGGGACAGGCTGGGATTTATACAACATCTCCAGGTGTGGGCGGTGCTCAGATGGTTCACCAGATTCCCACAAGCCAGCAGCAATTCATGGGGTATTCGCAGATCCATCACCCACCTCAGTCTGGTTCAGCTGGGAATCCCAACTATGGATATGAATACCCTGACAATGCTCATACACAGATATACTACACCCAACCTCTGGGACACGCACAGTACCAGACAATGACCGGACCTCCACCTGCCATGGTGATGCCTGATGGCTCTGCTGCTGCTAAGCTTCCAGCTGAGAACATGACTCAACAGATCCGGAGTTCACAGCCATTGTGACACACAAAGAAGAAAGAAGATGAACCACAAAATTTTGGAGGAAGAAAACCCGGGTTGGTTTTTAAACGTATAAATATATAATTACTTTTATTTTTTACAAGTTGCTGCGTCAAAAAAGAGTCTGGCTTCATGTTGGTTTGGTATTATTATGGATTATGTTACGAGTGTTGTGTGAGTAATTAGAAAATAAGGAAGTAGTGCTGTTTCGTGGGTTTTACATTATAGTTGCAATTGATACTGGTGGTGCTTCACCATTTTCCTGGATCTTATATCATATTTTTATCATTCATTTTATATTGTAAATGTATCACTCCTTGATTATTGCTCTTTTTATTTGTTTTTCTACTTGTTGGACACTTAAGAGGGAAAGACCAGAGATTTAAGACACATAAGATTCTGGAATCTATAACATGTAATATTTGGAAGAATGTATGTTTTCCTCTTCATTGCTTCTTCTTATCGATGGGAGCATAAGTACAGACATAAATCCATGTGTGTGGTCTTGTAAAAGTACACACAACACTACAACTTCTCAGACAAGGTGTGGGTGGAAAAGGTAGTGACAAAGTCGGCATGTCTTGCAATTTAGCAACATAACTATCTCTTTTGAAAGAGAGAGCATTTGTGCCATTACCTAAACACCAAACCCAGCCCCCATCTCTCTCTCTCTCTCCCATACTTTCGATTCAGGATATTTTACTCTTACTACACTATTCTCTTCTCACAAGCAACACAGCCGATATTTTTTCTGGCAGAATTCACTGAGGGGAGATGTGTCTTTTGTGATTTTATGCATCAGAAGTATTAAGTACCAGCTGACCCGGTTGGGTCACAAAATCTGAACCAAATCTCTCTGTGGTCAGCTCCCCATCCCTTGCATCAAACCAAATGTATCTTAATGGGTTCTTCTTGTCGTCTGTCTCTTTCCTGTCTGCAATTATATGTCTTCTTCCTTCTTTTTCTTAAACTCTTCCGACACTCTTTCAGCATCTGCTTCATGCTATAAATTTGTATCAGTGAGCTCTTTTTTCTCATCCCACTTTCCCTTCTCTTCACCTGTAGTCTGTAGACATAACCAAGCATCAATGGATCCAAACACATCTGCAGACTTTTTCCAAGAATCTTCCAAGTTACATACATTTTACCCGAAGACCAAGGGTGTTGTAGCAATCGATCTAGGCCTCAGCCTTAAGACAATACAACATGAAACTTACCTCCCATCGGGGCAGAGTGAGTTTCTTTGCTGAACTACTATGCTTTCACCTCATTGTTAGTCAGTTTTCTTAGTCCTCACTTGGCACCTTCAATATCTACATGTGAATAAAAGTGATAGGTCTCGACGGGTATGCAAAGCTCATAGACTGGTCGCAACCTGGATATAACAGCAATACACTGCTGAAGAGTGATGAAATTGGAAACCAACGACGTGGTCAAGGATATTACAATAATGAAGAAGAGAGCAGAGGCAAATTGGCTTATGTAAAGGTAAATCTGGATGGCCTAGTGGTGGGCCGCAAGGTTTGCCTTCTTAGTCAAGGATCTTACTCAAGCCTTGCTCTTCAGCTGGACGATATGTTTGGTAAGCTCATGTTCTGGTTCCCAAAGATTCCAGCAAAGTATCTTTCAAAAAAATTTGCCACATCAATTTGGATTTGCAGGGATGCAGACTGTGTCAGGACTGAGGCTATTCCAGAATGAGTCTGAGTTCTCTTTGGTTTACAGAGACAATGAAGGTATCTGGCGGAATGTTGGGGACGTTCCATGGAAGTAAGCTCTTACACTTTCTCTATACAAAAACTTGCCTATATAAGTAAACCACTTTTCTAATTTGCTTGAAACTCAATAGGGAGTTTGTCGAAAGTGTGGATCGGATGAGGATCGCAAGAAGAGACACTGCTTATCTTCCCTTTTAAGCTTTAAGTGGAAGCTTCTCCTCTTCCAGGGGGTTCACTGTTTATCTAAGATCCAAATTAGCTCCCTTGTTGTTCTAATATTTAACATCTGATGTAATGGAAGCTTTAAGCTATAAATACGATTATGAAGAGACAGACATCTTAATTAATAACTACCAAGAAAGACAGGGACAAATAAACAAAAACAAACAAAACAAACGGTAACAACATTAGCGTCATCAGGTGCAAATGCTCGAAATACTTGCAGCTTCATCTTTTAAAATAAGCTTTTATGTGCATATCTATAGATGTCTCAATCGCCGGCCACAGGTAATCTGTCGAGAGTATCAGAAACATGCCTCATGGTAGGCCTTTTCTCTGGACTGCTATTAACGCAACTGATTGCAATCTTAAGAACCGCGACAATCTCGTCTTCCTTATCTGCCTCAGGAGCCAAACAAGGATCAAGAACATCACACAATGGTTTCTTCTCCTCAATACATACTTGTATCCACCGAACTAGATCTATTTCAGATGACCCCAGCTCCATTGCCGGAGACCTACCCGCTATCAGTTCTAGTAAAATGATCCCATAAGAGTAAACATCCCACTTCTGTGATGGTTTTACCATCGTGAGAGTCTCGGGTGCCTGATAGTAGGATCCAGACGAAGAGTGAGCAGTGAACTCCGAAGATACACTCTTGTGATGGTGTTGTTGCCTCTCTTGCGGCTGTTGATCAGTTTGGATGATTCTGTTAGACTGTATGGTCGGAGAAGATCCGCCAGCAATGTTAGCCAACCGTGCTAGTCCAAAATCAGAGATCTTGGGCTCCATGTCTTGTCCGATGAGAATGTTGCTGGGCTTGAGATCTCCATGGACGTATTTTTTTGGACTGAACTCATGCAGATAAACAAGCCCTGTCGCAATGCCTTTGACTATCCTCAGCCGTTCAGACCATGTCAACGAAGAAATAGTCACCATGCCTGGCTTTCCTGCACACCCACCACATATACAGTGACTCAACATGGTGTACTCGAAGGATTAATTTCGAAATGAGCAAGGGGTGACTTACCGTGGAGGGCGGTTGCGAGGTTACCGTTAGGAACATAGTCGTATATGAGAAGCTTCTCATCCACAGACCAATAATAAGCTCGAAGACCAGCAATGTTAGGATGTCTCAGTTTCCCTATGGCTTCAACTTCTGTCTGAAACTCCTTGAATCTCTGAGACCCTCCTTCACCTAATCTCCGGACGGCCAGTGTGAGACCGTTCTCTAGAACCACTTTGTACACAATGCCGATTCCGCTCTTGCCTAGAACGAAAGCCGACGCTTTTAGTAGCTCCTCCAGGTTAAACACAACCTGAGCGTCAAGGGCCACAATGTCGCAATGCTCTACGTTTTCAGATAGCGTTTCGGATTCGTCTTTCCGGAAACACAGACATTCTGAAGCCCTTTTCTTGGATTCTTTCTCGAATCCGAACAGGTTCTCGCGGTTGCAAGGACAGAACTTTGAGTAGCAGTAAGTGAAAAGCAAACCCACGAGGCAGATGCCGATAACGTCGCAGAGAACAATGGCAATGATGGCGCTTTTGCTCAAACCACTTGATTTTTGTTTGGTTTCGGAGGAACTATCAGAATCCTCGGGTGGGTTGTTGCTTGGGATAAAAGGGTAAGAGGCATTAAGGCCGAGTTCATATCCTGGGCAAAGCTCTTTCAAAGGCGGGCCGCATAGCCCTGTGTTGCCGATAAACGCCGTTGGTCCTCTGTTCATAAGAGCACCAGTTTGAGGAATGGGACCGGAGAGATTGTTGAAAGTGAGATCAATGTAAACCTTTTCAGGAAGGTCGCCCAGAGCAGGTGGGATTGGACCGGTGAAGTGATTATGGGAGAAATCAGCAGTTCCTTGTAGGCTAGAGAGGTTCCCGATGTCACCGGGGATCGAACCGTTGAATTGGTTGAAGGCGAGGTCGAGTTTCTCCAGAGAGACGAACGCTGAGCCAAACCCATCAGGCAAAGGACCAGACAAGTTGTTTCGGCTGACATCGAGTGTTCTCAACCTGCTGCATTGCAGAATCGAAGGCGGTAGCGACCCGTCGAAGAGATTCTGCGACAAATCCAATGTCTGAAGAAGCTTGAGCCTACCGATCTCGCCCGACAAAGACCCATCAAAGGAATTGCCGTAAAGGACTAGACTTTGGAGTCCTTGAAGCTGGAAAAGCTGAATAGGCAACGGCCCATAAAACCTATTGCTCCGGAGATTCAAGTGACGGAGACTGGAGAGAAACCCTAGAGACGAAGGGAGGGAACCGTGGAGGCTCTTCCTGGGAATGCTTAGAGACACCACCTTGAGTTCTTTGCAAGTAACACCGTTCCACGAACAGGCGTCCTCGTCGGATGAGTTCCAATTGCTGAGGGAACCAGTAGGATCATCGTGAACGCTCTGCTTAAAAGTTAGGAGCGCGAAGCCCTCGTCGTTTAAGCCAGTCACAGTGACATGGGGGATGTAGTTGGAGCTGCAGAGAAGAGCAACGATGATGATGAGCCAAGCCAACATTTCGGATGCAAAATTAGAACAAAAAGACTTAGTGGAAGGAGGCTTTGTACAAAAGAGAGTGCAGCAAGAGGAGTGATGCTGATAGTGATGGAGTAAAGAGTAAAGTAAAAAGAACGAAAAAAAGATACTCTCGTTGAAGAAAAAAGGAGGAAGAAAGAATACAAAAGGAGCGAGAGAGAGAGAAAGAGAGAGAGCTCTGTTTTATTTTTATTTTGCATCGGGAGAAGAGAAGCAACAAAATTAAAAAAAAGAAATGACCAACAAGTTTGTGAAAAAAGAGGTGAAAGAGTTGGACAAAAGAGAAGCCATGGCGGTCTAATCCATACGCTAATTTGTCCACTAATCCATTTTTACTGATTAATTAACATATCTCTCTCTCTCTCTATCAATTCGTTTAGCTCTTTTTGACCAAAATTATCGTTTAAAAAAGGTCGTATGTAGAAATGTTAATTCAGAACTTTTTTATGCAAATAGTTACATCCTTTTTATATAAAAAATAACTTTTTGTCAGGAGTATTGGTTTATACAGAAAAGTATTACATATATTGGTCCTTCGATTGATCTGTCAAGTGTCAATGTAGGTAAAACATTTACAGTGTTTGTCGTTTTCTAATTCAATCTAATATATTGCCAATACATAAGTAATTACCATTTAAGTATCATTTTGTGAATCATACATAGATAGATAATGTAGCCTGTAGCACGAAACTCCACAAAAATACCAGCTGTAACATGTCACTAGATAAAGAAAAACATTTTTTTTAATTAAGTAAAGTGTAAATAAATCAGCATTGAACTACCTACTAATTTGGCGTTTGGGAGAGATCTAACGGTGGAGATATCAAGATAAAAGAGTTTGATATTCATACTGTATTACTAGTTACTAGAGAAAGTCGTCATAAGTCATACTTGACCATATAAACACACCATTCAAGAATTAAAGAACACAGCTTATCTTCACCTGAATTTTCTTGGAGAGTACATAATTTTCCCAAGAAGAAGATTCATATAACAAGAAATTCTAGAAATGGCAAAAGCTTAAATTGATCAAACTTTGGTGTAGATTACAAGGGGTTTTTAAAAAAGGCTGCCATATATGTGTACACATACGTTGTCCGGCCATTATTGTCGTTATTATCGTTATCATTGATACCATAAAAAATAAAAAATTGTCAACAAGTAAATTCGTAGTTTAGCACCCTAAACCCCCCTAAGTCCCTAACCCCTACACGCGCAGAGAGAGAGAGAGAGAGAGTCAGTGGGCCTAATTCCCCCCCCTACCCCCTTCACGGGACTATCGGACTAACGGCGACGACTCCGAGGGAGTGCCCCGGGGGGGGGGGTCAAATAAAACAATTGTTGCTTTTCTATAATATTCAACTATCTTTGGGCACAAATTATAAATACGGAAACATTCGGGGGCCTAATTTGTTTTTTTTCCCGGCACGACGATTGATCGATCATCATCAATGGGGGTGAAGACGAGCCGAGACCGATAAACAATGGGAGAGCCTGCGATCCGTACCATCGTCGAAGCGATTCACTCTTCTCCGACGCAGGCCGTCGTCTATCTTTCCGGCGGTGCCTCTCTGGTTTCACTCTCTCTCTCTCTCTTTGCTTTGAGTGATACGAAACCTATATATATGTACATATTCTCAGGCGTTAGGTTGGTTGATGTCGGTTCCTGGAGCTTCGAACACGCTTCTCGAAGCCGTGGTTCCTTATTCTAGTGTATCGATGGTCCAATTACTCGGAAGGGTTTGTTCTCTATTTATGGCAAAATCCTCTTCTCTTCTCCTTTATCACCTACCTGATTTTGTTCCCTCTCTCTCTCTCTCTCTGTCTCTCAGGTTCCGAGCCAACACTGCAGCCAAGCCATGGCCAAGGAGATGGCCTTGTTAGCCTACAATCGGGCCCTTAAGCTCTCGAAACCAGGTTCCTTTCTTTTTTAACACATTTTCTCATATAATTTGGTTTCATTCCTCACTTGTCCATCGTCGTTGCTTGTTAGTAATATTGATAGGAGCCCCCGATTGGTCTAACTCTGGTGGAGTTTTAGGATATCCGGTTCTTGGTGTGGGTTTTACGGGATCTTTGGCAACTTCTCGTCCAAAGCGTGGGGATCACAGGTTATGCAGCTTTTCTCTCCTGCTCTTCTTGATTTCTTAGCTATCACAGTACGTATAACCATCTCAAGGGATTTTGAGCATGGCCGCTTATGCTTTCTGTTACTCATAGTTATTGTTTTGTTTCCCGACTAGGTTCTTTTTGTCTATGAGAGCATCCGACCGGATCTGGGAATCATCAGTCACTCTAACCAAGGTCATTGCTAACCTTCTTTCTCCCGTCCTGCTTTGCTTTTTAATATCAACTACTCATGTGTCTTTTCTTGTTGTTAGAACCTACGGAGCCGAGAGGAAGAAGATAAGGTGTCAAGCTGTGCCCTCATCCAGGTGTGTTACAAAGCTTATTACCATCTGTTACGGTGTTGCCTGCCTAAGGCTCTTTTTTTTTTTCCTTTCTCTAGTTTTAGTTAAAAAAGAAATTTGACAAGTTAGTTCAGTTACTGATATTAGAAACAAGTACCTGTTAATGTTTCTGTTTCAATATACTGTAATACTAAGATATATATTTTTCTGGGGGAGTTTTGTCCATACTTTCCTCAGCTCGCATAACGTTTTAGTTAGATTGTACTTTGAGGTTCTTAAAACCTTTTCTGGTCATTTTCTTAGGCTATGGCCAAGGCATGCCAAGTTTCTGGCTCACTTGACTCTGGCTTGACCGAGTCTGAGGTGCCTTATGAGTCTGAAACCCAGTTTAGTGAAGAACAAGAAATAGAGCAGCTTATAAATGGGCAGTTGTGCTGTAAGATTTATTCATTTTCTGGGGGTAAGTTTTTGTCATTTTTACCCAGTGAAACTTAGGACTTCATTTTAAACTTAAATTGGCATGTGTTGACATTAATGATGTAGTTCTAACGTTGTGGCAGAGGCATACGGTACTGATGGAGATAGAAAGATTATACTGCCTGGCTCTTTTAACCCATTACATGACGGTCATCTCAAGCTGTTAGAAGTTGCTATGAGGTAGGCTAGTATGTCTTTATTATCTCCTTAATGAAAACCTGATTCTCTTTCAGGTGAACATGCTTGAAACAAAAACCGTGGTTGTCAATCATTACGTATAACCCGAGTGTTCTGTGTATCTATTATTGTCTTTGATTCCTGCTGTCTTTATGTTTCTTAGTTAGATCTGATATGCTACATTATGCAAGGTAACTACTAATTGATCATTTCTTCCGTTGCGCCCACATGTTGTGCTATATGATTCATTTTGTTGCTGGATTCTGGAGAGGCCTTTGGCATTTTGACATCTGTTAACCTACAAATTATAAATCAGATAACTATCTCTGTAAAATGAAATGTAAACAATCTCACAAGCAGATCTGTTGATGCAGTGCTTGTGGGGGCGGCGGGTACCCATGTTTCGAGATATCCGCAATAAATGCCGACAAACCACCGCTTTCAGTTACACAGATTAAAGATCGGGTCAAGCAATTTGAAGCAGTTGGTAGGCCGTTTTTTTACACACTATCTATTTATGTTTTCAATCTTCTGCACCACTTTTTTGGCTTCTCTAAGTTATACAACCATCATGATCCAATTAGTTCGAACAAGGGGAAAGACCAAGTAATTTTGTGATCCATATTTAAGCTATAATGTTTCCAATCCAGTTTGATGTCTATATTCTTGTGCCATCATTTGATTTATGTTTAGTATCCAAATGGCAGGAAAGACAGTAATAGTTTCAAATCAGCCATACTTCTATAAGAAAGCTGAACTCTTCCCAGGAAGCAGTTTTGTAATTGGCGCAGACACTGCAGCAAGGCTTGTCAATGTATGTTAATACTGAAACTGTTCCTGATTCTCTTTTGGTTTTTTTTCGTTATATTTGGATGCTACACTGTTGCGAAGTTAAAACTTATTAAGTCACATAGGTTTGAGGTGCTCTATTATCTTCCAATTCTATTTTATCAAAGATGATTAAGTTACTGAAATTTTTGCAGCCAAAGTACTATGAAGGAAGCTACAAAAGGATGTCGGAAATACTTGGTGATTGCAAACGGACAGGTTGCACTTTCCTTGTTGGTGGCCGCAATGTAAATGGTGTATTTAAGGTTTGACTTAAGCAGTTAAATTTCAGCCAATACAAATTTACTCTCTTGAGGGTTGTCTATGAAATTGTATGCCCTATGCCTTATCCTTGCTCCTCCGCAGGTTCTTGAAGATCTGGATATTCCAGAGGAAATAATCGACATGTTTATCTCAATCCCAGCAGATAAATTCCGGATGGATATATCCTCTACAGAGATAAGGAAAAACCAAGGGGTTGTTACTTCATAATACACGAATTGATGAATTTTCGACCCACATTGAAGTGGTGGCTCGCAAGTGAATTTGTTTAGTGCAGTTGCTTTTTGATATGATCCGTCTTGTTTCATTCTATTAGTTATTATGGAATGCATACAGACGAGCTACATCGACTTGGAAAAGGATATTTTCATTGTTCTTGCCATGCTTGTGTCAAAATAAGAACCAACGTTCCAATCTTGGTTTTATGATTGTCTGGCACCATATTCTGTTGCAGTTGCCTCAAAGTATTACTATCCAACCCTGGCTTGGTTTCTCAAAAGAATTACAGATTAAAATCAATCAAGAATTCAGTTATGCAGGCACACCTGAGCTTGGTGTGACTACTGCTGCTTTTAAGGATTGGGGAGATGTATTTTCCACTTGAGGTAATGATCTCGATTGCTTTTCCATTTCTGAGTAACTGAATTCGCATTCTTGTGTTAGTTTTCCATGAATGATAGATGTGCAACATTGGGTTATGGTAATAGATGCTTAGCATAATAAATTTCTTATTCTAAAAACTCAAAACCAATTTGATAGTTGCTCTTATATTTCTAGTTCTACGAGACAAGTGCAGCAGCGCAGGTATGTTGCTTCTGTGTCTGTCAAGGTTTCAGATTCAATGGGTACCAATGCAGACACGTCTTCTCTTCCTAGTTCCACCTACTCAGCCACAACAATTTGTAGAAAGTCGCGCGTGGGCATTTACTGCAACGGTGGCAGAAGGACATGAAACGTCTATATACAGTATGTGGCGGATCGCGGATTTTTGGGTCTGATCATGTGGACATAATGAATCCGGATGGATGGTATGAGCATTTACATAAGGAATGAGATGGAAGGAGCAATTCAGAGTTTCCTGGGAAACGTTTAAAGAGTGTGTGAATAATGTTCAACTTGTGACAGAGAAGCCTTCTTACAACTGTCTTTATACCAGCCTGATTAGAATCTTTAATCATATTACATCCAGTAATAGGGTTAGACCAAATCTTGGAATAGATCCGAACGATCAAATTGTGGTGGTTATTTCACAGATTTCTGGAAATATGACATTTTTAAAATTGACGTACGAATATAAATTATAATGTATAGTTGTATACAAATGAAATCATATATTGCATCAAATAAAATCATTAATGTCGTTGATTTCATTATTAGGCTTTTCAAATTATATGGGCCTAGAATCATATGAAATCTAAACTCGATGTAGCCCAATGGGCAGTATAAAAGTCCACCCAATAACGCGCGTCGTGCGAAATAACGTTTCTTACCAACTCTCACGATGAGCGCGTCGAGCCCACCTCCACGAAATCCCTGGACTAAAGCATGCAGAAATCGCTGTTTTTTCGTAAATTTTAAAATTGAGCGCGTGAGGGTCGAATTCTATTTAATAGTTTTGGAAATAAAAGCAAACCCAAAGTTTTATTATCTCTATTATGTTTCTGATGTAGGTGGCTACATAAGTATGGATGGTACTATGGTAGTGGTAGTAAAATCCTTTAAACACAAGTTTTTAGGTCTACGGAATACAAATAAGTTAAAACATTGATATAGTATAGCATATAGAGAGGTTCTTTCGATTCGCCCGTATGAAGTATGAACTACTCCACCTTGGTGGCCCTAGGAATCTTTGAGGCAACTGTGGACTTGAATACATCAATTAAGTTGTTTTTCTCTTCCGATACCTTCCCGATGAAACTGTCGATGACCTCTTGAAATTGAAGGTACAAAACCGGAGTTGTCATCGAGCAGACTAAGCCTGGAAGCGTGTTGGTTGATGTTATAGTTTATTAGAGAGACAAAATAAATGGAGGACATCAAAAGAGAAGAAGATAAATGTTTTGAGGTTCCTCTTACATATATACAACATTGTGAGGAGGCTGATGTAGCTCCCAATGATGTCTATGATGACCACATAAAAGATGGTCTGCCACATGAAAGTTTATCAATGAAATTAGACATGGAAACTAGAAAATAGTGTGACATATATAGGTAGCGAGAAGATTCACCCAGAGAAAGGTTTTGATGTCTTTCCCATAAGCAATCTCGTACAGCATAAGGAGAATGCCTTCTGTCTTTAAAAGCAAGGCTCTAAGTCGGGAATCTGGTAGATTCAGCTCTTCCGGAGTGGGAGGTCTCCTGTGTTAGATTGGTGGAACCACAGAGCCTCTACTGTTAATTTTCTTATTTCAAATGACTTATAAGAAATTGTAAAAGATGTGTGCATATATATTGGTATTTTAGTAGGTACCGAGCGATAAAGAGTTGTCCGAACTTGGCCCAAAGGAAGAGGAGGAGCATGAGGAGTAACAGGATTGAACAGAGGAGTGGAACAAATCGAGCCTCCATGATCTCCAAGAGGAACCAGAAAAGTGTGGCAGTTACAAGTGTTATCCCCGAGTTTATCTTGTCCTTCCACACACATAAATCCGCCACTGCAACAACAACATTTCCAATGTATGGTCATATTAAAGCCCCTAATAAGTCTCTTCCTTTGACAAATTTATTCATAAAGTATATTAGTAATATAAGTAGAGGACACAAGTAACGTCACCTGCTCCTTTGCCAAGTATTTGATCCACAAGAGACATATTGGTTAATTTTGTGTTTGGTTCTTTAAACGAGACTTTGCAATCTCCATAAACCATAGTCCATCAAAGGATTATATATAAGTAAGAAAAAATGAAAAATCACCAAATTTTTTCTTTGTTGTTGGCATGCTTTTTAGTCTTTAATTAAACTACAATCATTGCTTAACTTAATTATGGTGGCTTTTAATACACCGAACGCCACGGGCCTCGTCTCCGGGCTCTCCTCTTATTATTAACATGTTCATTGAGACATGTTGTACTCTCCTTATGTCTCTATATGAATAACACAACATTTTGCATGCCAAGAATCAGAATCTTATAACTTTTATTGATTTTTTTTACCTATATCCGGTTTTCTAATTTTGTATTTATTTGTGAACAACAATATATATTACCTTTTTCATTTATTTCTTTCCATTTTAAATTACAATACAGTATATACATCTCTTTATTTTTACATTATATCAAATGAATGCATAAATACATTATGAGCTAGCCATTATAATTTGTTTCTTAAGATACTTTCTCGAGATATTCAATCCAACTTTCAATAACCAGATATATAGGATACACAACATTTGCATATAAAGTTCTAATAACAATATCAGAATGTACCAAAGTAAAGAAATAATATTTCTCAATGGGTTGACATTTGGTGATATGATAAACTTGTTGGTTATGGTTGATAATCATTCTGTAGCTTTATTAAAGGCAAGTTTTGAGAATTAATAACTTCGTTTTCCAGACTCAAGAGTTATACGGACCGGTGACATTTTTTGTATACTATGTTTGCTTTATAGTATGTCATATCTATAGTAGAGTCACAGATTGATATAAAATGACAAGCGCAATGAAGAAAGTGAAGAAATACCTGGGGTTGTCCACAACCATATTAAGAACCAAAGACAAATAAAGAGAAGTTTCAAAAAGTCTTTTAACTTAAGAAAGAAGATCAAAATCCAGGAGGCATATAATGAAAACAGAGTGAAGTCTGACATTGAACAAGAAAACATCTAATTCATCCTCCTGATAAGCTCGTTGATGAAGTTCTCACGGTTTCCAGCATCACCACCTTCCACGTAGTGATTTCTCTTCTTCTTGAGGCCTCCGAGTGGTGCCTTCAGCTGGAATGGCCAGAGGAAGTTGTTGGCTTCTTTAAAATGAGGTCCAACTGTTAGAATCTCATGGATCAAATCCTCAGTGCAGATGATCCCATGCTTTCCCAAAGCCTGTTTCATTGTGTATAAAAGAAGAATTCGTGAGTATTAACTTCATAACAACATTGAACAAGTGAGTGCAACAGAGGCAGATTTCGAACCTGCTCTACAATAGAGTTATCAGTTAAAGCAATCCTCTGGTGGTTTAGCTTTCCATAACCTCTCTTGTAGATCAATTCTTTGACACTCTTCAGGTTAGGGAACCTGACAAAATGAGAGAGGCAATTCTGTGATTAAAACACTTGCTATCAAAACGAAAGGTCTAATAAAAGAGGCAATTCTGTGATCAAGGCTTGGGGCTGAGATGAATACCCGTAAGTAACATAGGGCTCAACACGGCGAAGCATGTTCATTGTAGCCTTGTTGACTTTAAGGAAAACACCATTGAAAATCTGCATTCGACAATGCCAATCTTAATCATTATTCAACACCAAAAGATACATTTCGTCTAGTTGTCATCGCTATGACATGTGACAGTATCAGACCAGTTGATTCGCAATAAACTTCATGGAAATCAACAGAAAGATAATATCTCTTAGGTTTTGAACGTAAGACTAATAGCAATTAGGAGCAAAATTCCAAAGAGTAGCCTACAAAAACACTATTCAATAGACATAAAGCACAGCAACAACAAAAACTAAATAACGAACCTGTCTCAAACGCAAGAGCTGGAGAATCTTCTTAGTCTTAGGGTCAATGGCATTGATACTGCAAATTCAAGCAACAACATATAAGAACAACAACATAGGATATGTCTTTGGAAATGCTAATACTCACACAAAGAGAAAACATACCCACGGATACGGATGATGAACAAGAGCTTAGCTTCAGGGTCAACATAAAAACCTCCCTTAAGCTTGGCCTCGCGTTTCAAAGAGATCAACTCCTTCTCCTGATAAGGATGATGAGAAAAGCAGGAACGAAAGATCAACATCAGTTTCAAAACAAGCACAGATCAACTTGTCCGTCGATTCCATGGGAGTAGAGAAATGTTTACCTTCTCGGCGTACTCCTTGGAGTACTGCTCGGCTCTTTTGAAGATGAGCTTCCTGTTCTCGGCGTTCTTCTTCTTGGCAGCCTCAGCATTCTGCTTCTTCTCCAAAGCCCACTCCTCCTCTCTCTTCCTCTTCTTCAGCACCGACTCCGGAACTACAACCTTGGACTCAACCATTTCCAAAATCCTGCACATCAACCCAGATTTGATTTTACCTTCTGAATCCGAAGAACAGGAGACGATACTAATCGATATATAAACAGTGAAGAGAGAATCGACGACACTAACCTCTGTGGCAGGAGCTCTACTCGATTCCAACGGATTTCTCAGAGGCGATACGTTCTGCGGCGATGAGAGATTTTATATATATGCTCTATGCCTCTCAAATTAGGGTTAAAGTATGAAAGTTATGGGCCTCACGAGCCCATTATCTATTATTGAGCCTGTATGGTAAATGCCCATGTTTTTATCTACGGCGAGATTCAAATTGATTAGGCCCATTTGAGATTTGTAGTTTTATTTTCTTGTTTTCAAATTGATTAGGCCCATTAGAGGTGACACTTCTTGGATGGCTCTGGGACAAACCAAAGTGAAGCACTTTACAAACTACTTCCTCGTGGAGATTGCAAATGGAGGTAACATATACATATGGCAATCTGTGGTTACATTTTAACATAACATTGGCATGCCATTTTCCCTCGTCAACTAACTTTGTAAAATGCTAGTTTGAACATTCACATTTGCTCCAATAGTTTCTATTGCAGACAGCATGGTATTTGTATACAACAAGACGGTGGTTAGCCCAGGGTTCCTCATACATCATCTGACCAAACAAAATTCGTTTTATCTATAACTTACAGATTTAAAAAGAAAGAAAGAAGCAACTCCTTTTAAAACCTGAATCTGACAACAACCCATATCAACAGTTTTGAGTTTATTGATTAAACTCGCTCAAAGTGCTTCGCAAGTTCATATCTTTTCGCACTTTTCCTTATCAATACTTCCTTTTAAAATCCTACTCAACGGCGGCAAAAGAAGAGGAAGTCAGGGTGGCTGACATGATAAGAACGCAGCCACTTGTCAGCTGCTTGGAACAGAGAGTTCACCAGCTGGTGCTCAGAACCCCCATCTGGTGTCCATAAAGAACCTCTAAACTTGTATGAAGCGAGCCCAAATACAGGCAACGGCATCTTCTCACTCTCCCTTGGTTGTGCACTATCTTCACCTACATTAACCGACCAATGTGAAAATATCTATCAACCAAATAATTATCCTTCTGCCGGAATTTGACTCTGCGACTAACTCTTCTACTGAGCATACACCTAGTTATGTTGTTAAGTTGATCAATAGTCAAATGATGCTACTATAAAATTGCAACATTTTGCATCCACTTAAGCATTTTTTTCAACTTTCTTATAAATGAACCAGATTAGATAAATTTCCTGAGCAGGTTTCCTCTAAAATCTTAATAGAATAAAACTGTTAAGTTTTACCTCCAGACGGTGTGTGCAGGGAATGATACGTCAAGAAACAAGCATCCAGGTCCTTGAGTGTCGGTCCTGTGGGTATTCTGTAAATTGGGTACCTGCAAAGTATATAATACAATGGATTCTCAGAGACAAGAACAGATATACTGGCAGCAAGCAAATGCACTCGAAAGTACAAGTAACAATACCATGCCACAGAAAACCAGCTTGACGGAAGCAAGTCACAGCTTTTCAACGTTTTCAGCTCAGGAAACTGAGCTGCGAGGTCAAAAACCTGTAGTACAACATAGGCATAGTCATGAGTGGGAGCCGAATATTAACAACAGACTGACACAAGTTCCCATCTTTTTGTGAGTTAGAATGTGGTCTCATTTAGTGTGAAAAAAATAATGTGGTCTAATTTAAGTTGGCGATAACCAATTCCTCAGCAGATTGAACATTTCTGATTAGTTGATAGCCAACAGTTGACCCAAATTAAGGGGTTAGTATCAAACAACTGTCATTTCTAACTTCTAAGCATTAGTTTTCAAATTGAAGTTACCTGGTAAGATAAATGATATGAAAAAGCAAACAAAAATCATCTTGGTAGTTAAGAATCCGTTAATGATTAATTAGTATCTACGGCATGCTTTTGAAATATGATATGGGAAGTTCTAGTAGAGAAATGAACACAGAAACCTTATCAGCCAAAGGTTCGCGGATGTAAGGAAGGTCTCTTTCAAGATACTCAAATATCAAACGACCCTGAGAGCTTAAAGGTTCGCCGTCGTCACTGGATGAATCTTCCTGATGTTGATCTCTCAATGAGATATGGTTGAGTCTAGCAGAAACCCGCTCAGAATCACTATCGCTGCTGACATCGCTACTAGAATCCCGGAAATCGCTGTCGCTACTATCACCTGGACGCCTGCCATAGGAAAAGGATATATAAGAGACGAGACAATGAAAAACATGTTCTATAGTGATGCAGCAACAGAATCTGAAAGAAAAAGGACCTTGGTTGAAGAGATGAATGAAAGGCATGAGAATGAGCATAGATTTGAATGGCTGACAAAGAGGGGACATAGTATTGGATAACACGATCCTTGTTATTCAAAACAAGAGGAACTCCGGTGCCGTAAGCACTCCACTCTGCAAATGACTCCCAAATATCTCCAAGCACAAAGTAAGGCACAGGTTTATAATCATCATCGGCTCGTCTTTCCCGTAGCGATGTCTGCGGAGTCACCATTAGAACAACAAAGACCATATATTTAAAACAAGAATTCCCCAGAAAAACAGAGAAAATTCTGAGTTTGAAATGTAGAAAAGAAACCTTAGAAAAAAACTGGGCCGGGACGGATGGTGTGACGGAGTCTAAAAACCGTTGAAGATTACTGGAAGGGGAAGGCTCAGAGGCGAGGGTAGGAAGGAGTAAATGTTTAGGATCGTTGTGGGAATCCGGAGAGGGGCCATTGGAGACGTCGCTCTGAGCTCTCCGGAGCTGATCGATGCGCTGATTGGCTTTGCGAGCTTTTGCGGAAGAGTAGAAAGGATCGTCGCCGTGTCGCCCTCGCGTCAACTGAAAACCAGCCCCCAACATATCCCCTTTTGTGAAAAAAGCCTCCCGAGTTCGTTCCTTCCTTCGTTCGATCGAAAGCAACACAGTCCGTCCTTGTCAGTAGTCCTCCTAGTCTATCTAAGTTTTAATAAGTTATTTTGTTTGGTTTTTTCTTTGCGTTAAAATAAGCACATGAATATGTTTCTCCGATCGATGTGACGGCGAAGAAGCTTGTGTCGAATCGGAGATTCTAAGATTGGGGAAAAAATGGATCGAATAGACTGAACCAAACCCAAAAGAAGAAGAAGAAAACCCTTTCTTTAGCCACTCCTTCCGGAGATATCAAAAGCTCCGATTAAACAGGCAACGATTAGTGGAAGAGGGAATCCAAAGAGATGAGAGATTCGGGTAATGGAGAGAGAGAGAGAGAGATGATTTTGGGATTTTCAAACCAAAGAAAAAAATAAAAAAGGTCAATGAAGCAAATGAAGAAAAAAGGAAGATGATTGGTTCTCTCGTATTCGGAGAGGGAGAGTGAGTGGAATATAACACATTAGCCCCCAAGTAAGTTGGGATTTATCACATTTCGTCCCTTACCTTTGATCCTTCATTACTGATTGACCCCAAACTTTCGTATTTTAAATTTACGCTTTAGTTAAAACATGCGATCCATCATCCTACTAAGCGCATCATTATGGGCATAACCCGTCGGTCCTTAGGAGAATAAAAAAAGCCCATAATAATGAAACAGTCCATTGAGAAGAAGCATCCGGGTTTTAGTTAAGAATTTTTGTTGAGGCATCTTATGCCACGTGTAATTGCGTTATTGGTTAGAGAATTGTAAAAAGAAAAATATTTTTTATTTTCTTTTTCTCCAAATCGATTTCACTTCGTCTCTCTTCTCTCACACGGACGAAAGCGTGAGGACAGTCTCCTCAAGAAGCGTCGCGAAGGGATGATGCTCCAGCAGCCTCTCGGAGCTGGCCTCGACGGTCCCTAGAATGATGCCGCTGTTGAGAAACGAGTAAGTTCAGCTGTTCTGAATTTCGATACTTTTGTGCGCAATTTTGTGATTTGGATCTCTGTTTTGATTAGTGAGTGATGGATCTTTCTTTGACTGTTGAAAAAACTGTGGCTTTGATTCTGTTTCCCACCTCAATTCTAGATCTCAGCTGCTTGAAAACTCCCAATCTCATAATTAACCATCAAATTTGGCTTCTTTGGTTTTGGAAATTAGATTTATGGATATTTGGGATCCTTTTATGACCACAAATCTGATAATGTATGATGATCGCCTTTAGTTTGATCGTTTTGAAGTGAGTGATTGATAGTTGTTGTTATGTGTTTTTGATTTTGAAGTATGATTCCACACAAACGAAGCGTGGAGCTGCTGCACTTGCACGTTTGAAGGTTTTTGAAGGTGTTCCTACTCCATATGACAAGGTCAAGAGGATGGTCATCCATGATGCTCTCAAGTTTGTTCCTTTTACTATACTCTTTTGCTTTTCTCTTTATGTTTCTTAAGTTAGATATTTTTTAGCATTGTAATTCTTTTTCTTCTTCAGGGTCTGAGGCTTCAAGCTGGTCACAAGTATTGTCTTTTGGACCGTCTTTCTTCTGAAGTTGGGTGGAACCATTATGACACCATCAAGGTATGTGTTGTTGTTGTCTTGTATCTATTGCTTTTTAACTTGCTTTGATTGTCTGTACTAGTTATTATGAGCTTTCTTAATGATGAGAAGAAAGATATTTAGCTACTAGAACGTGTCTAGGTTTGTAGTTTTGTTCAGTAAGAAGTGATTAGATAGTGAGAAAAATCAATAGCCTTCTCTTCTCCATTGCTCATGAACCACTTTGATCACTTGTACAGTTGATGTGAGATTTCATAATGATAGAAAGAAAGATACTTAGCTACTAAAATGTTTCTTAGTTTTGTTAAGTAACAGAAAGGAGAAAGATTATGAGATATGAGGTTTTGTGTGTAAATTAATGGTACTTTACAAGATGCATGAGCTATGAGGTTTTGTGTGTAAATCCAGTTTACTAAAATGCAGTCCAAATCAAAGATGATCTTGTTGACAAGTACAGTCTGCAAGAGGACCAACATCAACCTCAGCAAGATGACTATGTGGATGAAGTTGAAAATAACGACTTGGAAGCACATATCTTGCTGTGTTCACTTATATTTGTGTTATTGGAATCTCTCAATATAGACTATAGACTCTCTTTTGAAAAGATAAAAATCTTGTTATGAATCGGTTTCATTTGTACATCACTTTGGTGTTGCCTTGGTTAAGAACATGTTTATATTTGGAGCTGTTTATATTTGATATGAAATGCTTAAAAAAAAATTTGTGAAAGGTTTATAAACTTTTTTTCATTTCATAAAATGTTTTGTATTTCATTTTTATGTTTGAATCTTTTTAAGTTTATGTTTTTAATTGGGAATTTTAAAGTATCTACCACAAGGTTGTGGGTCCCTTTTAGCATCTACCACATTTTTGAATTGTTTCGACGAATACCACATTTGTGTGGTAGTGGTGTGTTCAATCGGACGGTTTTACCCTTCAAAAAATAAACATTTTAAATATATCGTGGACAACAATTATCCATGGACTATAATTATCGTGGACATATATACGTTTCAAGAATCTAATCATCACCTCCGTCATTGTCCACAAAACTAAATAAACATCAATTTCATACTCGACTTCATAGTAAACAGCAATATAAAGAATTAAGACAAGATATTTATATCGTAGACAAATAATTGAAATAAGATACATGTGTCATGGACAATAACTATACTGTAATTTATAATTGAGATGTTCAAGTTTGTCCATCAAAACAAAATATAATGTAAAACAAACGAAAATAAGTAGATACAAACATTTAGATCTTGTGGACAATTTTTACCGTGGATATATACGTTTAGAGAATCTAATCCTCACCCCTAACGAAAGATGATGATAAAACATGATTGTGGCTTACAAATGGTAGCAACGATGTCGAAGAGCTTCTGTGAAAACAATAATTCAGACGGTGATGGTGTTGGCCCAGATCTAAGGATGAAAGAAGAATGAAAAGAATGACAAATGACTTTCATATATGAACAACAATTATGGCGTCGATTAATAACTTCGATGATGAAATCGTATACAACAAAACAAAAGTTTTTCATCTTTTTCTAAATTTCTGGGTTTATGTTTGATGGTTTTGCAAAACAGGTCGAGAGAAGAGATGTAGAAGATAATGATTTTAAGGAGAAGAAAAGAGAGGGCAAACTTGTCTTTTTCTGTTAAGGAATGTGGTATAAAAGAAAACAATTATAAAAAGTGGTAGTTTTATATAGAAAAACTTAGAATGTGGTAGTTCCAATAAAATTCCCTTTTTAATTTATATGTTACTATCTTTTATGTTTCTAATTTTCATCGAAATTGTTAAATATATGTTATAAATAATATTTAGTTGTATTATCTTTTTCTTTTTATTTTCTAATATGTTTTATGTTAATTTATATAAGTTTTCAATTTTTAAATTATTCAATTAGTTTTAAATATTATTAATATGTTTAACAATATTTTATTATTATAAATATAAAAACCTAAAAGTTCAACCAATATTTGCCTATTTTTGTGTGGTTCTTAAAAAACACTATTACAATATTAATATATTAAAAATACACTAAGATGCATGTTTGGGGTTATGCCCATAATGATGCTCTTAAGGTGTATATAAACTGTGGACTGCTCAGCTGCATATCACGTTCGATTGATTTGAGGTTATGAATGCAACATTGTAAAATCTGATGAGAAATATGGGACTATATGAAAAAGAAAGGGATTCACATTGTCATATCACGGAAAAAGTAGACAATGGCCAATATTATAAAGTTAAGGGAGGCTCTTTTAAATAACCGGTGGCTACTGGCCCTGCTTGCTTGCTAGATGCTGACAAGATGATACTCTAAAAAAACATATAGCAATTTGGTCATCTAAAAGAATGGCTGTAAACATTTGGTCTTTTTTTTTTTTTTGGTTTTTCCATCTTAGATAAGCTTCACAATTTTCAAGAATGAAAACTGTGTACCATTCAAGAATTCAACTAATGCATTCCACACCTACTCCTACTTTCATCATTCAAATAATAATATTGACAATGACATCAAAGTAAACATAACATATATTGGTGAGTCTTCAATTAATTAAGCATTCAAATTGTTCTAAATAACAATACTTACATGAGTATTAAAAATAAGGAAGTCTTGATAAGTGAAATGCATATATGAGATGAAACCTTAATGTATGTGCACATGACCATCAAATTATAGTCTTCTTTTTGCCTGGCTTTCAAGGTCCACCACATATAATTTGTTTAATAACTTGAATTCATTAAAAAAAATGGAAAACAATTGCTCCTGTATTTGATAAGGTGATCTGAGAATAGATAGCCCAATAAGGCCCAAAAATGTTATTATAAAAAGGCCCATATTGAACGGTATCGGAGTAGAGAGATGTGCGACGTCGTTCTGGATCTTCTATATCACAAAGCTTCGTTTCTCAATGGAAGAGGAGGGAAGCTTTCTGTAGATCTTCTTCGCTTCCTCTCTGTTGAGAAGAAAATTAAAATATAAAGAAGTGATTAAATTTTGAAATCTCAGAGGAAGGGTCTTCTTCTCAATCCGATTTGATGTCTTTGGTGCATCTGCTTTTGTTCGCGGGCCTTGTAATCGCCGCGTCTGCTTCCCCGGGCTCGCGCTTGATTCTCCGGGAAATCGCCGATCAAAAAGACAAAGCTGTTGAATTGAACACTACCAACTTCGATTCAGTTCTTAAAGACACCCCCGCCAAGTATGCCGTCGTCGAATTCTTCGCTCACTGGTCAGTTCTCCTATTTTCCCAATCCGCAGACCATTAAATTAAATTGCTTTCAAATCAAATCTCCAGTTTTGATTGGTGGGTTCTTCTGCACTTTTCTTTTCTACCTAAAGTTTGGTGCTGGATCTAGCGTTGGATTCTCTTCCAAGTGATCTTATCGGAAAAGAGTTTAACTTTATGGTCCTACTCGTGTGCTTCTTTCTACTCATTGCTACTAGATGAATGCAAATGTTTTTTTTTTTTCCAAGAGTACTTCAGTTTTTGACGTATACTGATATATGTATCGTTTCACTTTATTCTAGGTGTCCTGCCTGTAGAAACTACAAGGTGACATAACTTTTCAAACCCTCATCTTTAGTTCTTCTACGTCTTATTTTCGTTCCCTAAAAACTGTTACTCCGCAGCCTCATTACGAAAAGGTCGCAAGGCTCTTCAATGGACCAGACGCCATACATCCTGGAATCGTTTTGATGACGAGAGTTGATTGTGCGATGAAGGTACTTAAATTCATGGTTCTAATTCATCTATGAATCATGTTCGATTATGTTGGTTCACTATTTCTGATGCTAAGTCCGTCTATATGATGGATGACTTCCCTGGCAGCACAGACGAATACTAAGCTCTGTGACAAGTTCTCTGTTTCTCATTATCCAATGCTCTTTTGGGGTCCTCCTACTAAGTTTGTCTCTGCCAGTTGGGAACCTAGAAAGGATAAAAGCGACATACTTGTTATCGATGACGGCCGCACTGCTGAGCGTTTGCTCAACTGGATTAACAAGCAGATAGACAGGTTTGTACCATAAATGCGCTGGACTCTTTTTCTTCAGCATTAGTTCGAAATATATTTAACATATTTAAACTCTATTACATCTTGGAAGTGTATCTATAATTTTCCTGAGCTAGTTTGCCAATATTACATCCTACTCTTTTCTGTTTTCTTTCTCCATATTGTGCAGTTCTTATGGCTTGGATGATCAGAAATTCGAAAACGAACAAGCCCTGTCAAATATAACCAACTACAACCAGGTTTCGAGACTGATCTCTGCCTAATTCTAATGAGATTATTATTATTTCTTATAAGATTAAACAGCTTTAAGATATCCGGGTGTTAATTTGCCACAGATTTCCCAGGCTGTGTATGACGTCGAGGAAGCAACCGCAGAAGCTTTTGATATCATTTTAGTACATAAGGTAGAAAAATGTGTATGATCTTTGTGTATGTCTATTATCTTCTTCCTCTCGCTCAGTTTTGTTAACTAATAAGTAGTTTCATGACATCTACAGGCCATTAAGTCATCAGAAACAAGTGCTTCATTTATAAGATTTATCCAGCTTCTAGCAGCACGTCATCTTTCCAGGAGGTAAATTAAAGTCTCATCATCCTAATGCCGTCACAAGCATTCTGTTGGTCACTCTGTTTTTCCACGCTGATTGTGAATTTATATTCTATAGGTGTCGGAAAGGAGCTGCAGAAATTCTAGTGAACTATGATGATTTATGCCCTTCTGGAAATTGCTCTTACGAAAAAACTGGAGAGAAGAATACCCTGGGAAATTTCCCTATTTGTGGAAAGGATGTTCCACGTGGATACTACGTGAGTGCTTGCAGCCAACTCTATTTCTGTTTTCCTGTATATCTACATTTGAACTGACTGTCCTAATATCTTCTTTGGTAGATGTTTTGCCGTGGCAGCAAGAACGATACTCGTGGATTCAGGTACTGTAGTTTGTTTTCAAATTTAATACCGTGATCCTTCAATTCCATTTACCCCACTTTTATCTGAACTATTCCTCAAATGTCTGACTGTAGCTGTGGATTATGGATTCTGATGCATTCGCTTTCCGTGAGGATTGAAGATGGAGAAAGTCATTTTGCCTTCACGGCAATATGCGATTTCGTCAACAATTTCTTCATGTGTGATGAATGCCGCATGCATTTCAACGACATGTGTTCAAGGTATAAAAAAACTTGAACTCATAAATCGGTGGTATTTGCCCAACCAAAAGTCTAAACCACATATGTATGTGTTTCATGGATAGTGTCAAAACCCCTTTCAAAAAGGCACGTGATTTTGTCTTGTGGGTGTGGAGCACACACAATAAGGTCAACGAGAGGCTCATGAAGGACGAAGCTTCTCTTAGTTCAGGTGACCCCAAGTTCCCGAAGATCATATGGCCACCAAAGGAGCTTTGCCCATTGTGCTATCTCTCAAGTAACCAGAAAAGCATAGATTGGGACCTTGACCATGTCTACAAGTTCTTGAAGAACTACTATGGGCCTAAGCTTGTCTCCCTTTACAAGGAAAAGAGTGTCCTCGAGAGCAAGGAAGAGACTGTTCCAGAAACTGAAGACTTGACAGTAGCCACTAACGCTCTGGTTGTGCCGATTGGAGCTGCATTGGCAATAGCTATCGCCAGCTGTGCATTTGGGGCGCTTGCATGTTACTGGAGGACGCAGCAGAAGAACCGCAAGTATTACTTCCATCTATCTATATTAATCTAGTGATAGCCAACTCCTGTTCTCTTTATTCTTACCACTTCAGGTCATCTTTTCTTTTTAGGTCGAGGAGAAGCTGGAAGTAAACTTCCAGAAGGTCTTGATGTTTTCATAACTTACGGACAACAAACACGAGGGCTCTTGTTTGGAGTTAGGATCCCAAAGTTCCTTGCTGCAGGTCCTTTCCTTGTAACTTTTGTCTCTGATTTTGAAAGATAGTCCAGATTCTTCTCTTGAAATTTGGGATACAAACACAGAGAGACACTTGTGAATGTTGGGATCTTTTATAGGAATCTTTATAGTGGTTTATAATTTTGTATCGGACCATATGGTTAGGGTTGTTTGTGTAAGAATTCGAGATGAGTCTTTGGCTATCTGCATTGCTGATCTGGGAAAAACACTTGAGAAGATAGCTTTGCAAATGAGATACTTTTCTTTTCTTTTTTCAATCTGTTAAACCAATCCAACATTTTACATGTATAAGCAGAAATTATATTTACAGTGACATTTGACTTTCTGTGTGTGTGTGTGTGTGTGAAAGAAAAGAAGAGTGCTCATCGAACGCCTATAATGTAAGATTGTGTTTGAGGCAGGCGCCATGAATCTGTTTCTTCATCAGATGAATCTTCGGAGTGAGAGGTGTCTAAGGTCTGAGAATGGCGGCGGCAGGTGGCGACTGCTTTGGTGACGACATAGATAGGTAGCATGATTCCAAGTACTCTAAGAAATAGCAACTGAAAACCAAAATAACAATTAGGGGTCATCAACTTACTCCCTTGAATCTGTTGTGGAGGTGATAAACTCACCGTAAACAAAGGGAAGACATGGAGGTTTGATCCGGTGAGGACTAAAGGGAGGGTATGTCGGAGAATGAGAAGGGCCATGAACTGCAGATTACAAAGGTAAACATAATGAGTAAAGACATCAAAATGTTGGTTTGGTGGGAAAAGGGAGGATATTGGTGGTCCGTACAATGAGAACAAGGGAACGGCAGCAGATGAAGCTTGTGGTGGAAGAAAGAGGATATTGTTGGTCGATAAAAGTGGAATCAGCAGGTACAACTGTGATGAAACGGTGCTCCCGTTGAGAGATTCCCCAGTTTCCCCTGAAATGGAGAGGAACCTGACCCAACTCTAGCAACGGGGGCGGTGCTGTATAATCCGGCTTGAATTCCTGAACAAATCATAATAAATATAAATATGATCAGATCAGAATGCATAGAGAAGGACAGGAGAAAGAGAGAGAGGATGAGAAGGAGACAAACCTGATGGCAAATCTCGCAGGTGGTATCACCTTTCTCGTTACACCATCTTTGCACGCACCTCCGATGCGCATACTGCCAACATCAACATCGTAGATATCATCTAATCAGACCAATAATGTTCTTTTGACTGGGAAAGAACGTTTGTAATTATCTGTATACCTTCAAGCTGCCGCTGCAAGAGCAAGGAGTCTCCATGTTTGAATCCAAGTCGTCGTCGTGACAGATCCTGCACTGGGCCATTGACAAATCTCCGTTACGCAGCTTCTCAAGGGTTTTCTCATCGAGGACAGTACATTCCTCGGCGGGTATATTAGCCTGCAACATACGGTTCCTGCTCTGAATGGCAGCCTCAATGGTGGATTCTGTTATCAACCGATCAACCAGCAGCACGAAGTGATCTCCCATGTTGTCTCACACGGGTATAGAAAGAAATTTGCAGCTGAAGAAATAACTCTGATGTATTCTTCTTTTCCCTCACCTTTTTAGCTGCGAAATGATATAAATAACGGGGTTGGGGTCAGCATTTGCAATCAATGCTCTAAGGAGATTCTTCTATACGCAACATGAACATGTGGATCATTTAGAAACTGCTCATTATTGAATATAAGTTTTTGAACATTTAGATGGAAGCAAACAGTTTTCTGAATCAAAGCAGGGTTGGTTTTACCAACAGAACACAACAAAAAAAAGCTGTATTTTTCTGTTTCTTTTTGACCAAATAAGCTGCACAAGTTTATCGAACCGGTTTACACTAACGGTATATAAAAAGGAAACTAAAAAGTTAAATCCAGGAACAACAAAGAATCTGAATTTACCCGGCAAAAATGAAAGAAGCTTATGAACGAATGAAGAATACGTTTAGACGAAATCGTACTTAGGAGACAAAAATAACAATAATAGAAAGCACAAAAAGAAAACGAAAACAGAGGAAGAATCGAGAGGCAGAGCCAAAATATAGGAGAGAGGAGCAAAAGAGCAAAGGGGGAGGGGTTGTACCGTTTTCTTTCTGTGTTATTTGTCTGAAAAGAGAAAAGAAGAAGAAAGAAGAAAGAAGTGGAAAAGCGAAGAAAGAGGAGACTTAAAAAGAAAGAGAATCGTATTTTTAATTTTATTTTATTTTACCTTTCCTGACGCTAAAGCCTTCACAAAAGCTTCCTTTCTTTCTCTCTGATTTCCGAATTATTCTCAGAGTCAGGTTTAGACTTTAGAGGAAGAGCATCCCACAAAACTGAAACATAAAGTTGTGTGTGTTTACAGATGAAGCAAAGAGATGGAGTAACATATTCTCGAGTCTTTATGATTGTTAGTTTACTCTATTTATTATAGAGAACCCCAAAAGAAATATATCAATATCCTCCTCCATTGGAGACGTATCCGTTATATTATAGTATTGTACATGGATACACACTCATACACGTGACCATTTTGAATACTAAATAAAGTGGCAAAGAAATTTACCTTAAGCCAAGAAAAACACAACCCCAACAACATAAAACTAATACCTTAAACAATAGATGAAATTGACAATAACCACCACATTTGTTGGATTGTTTCTCCCTCTTTTTATTTTTGTTTGTTCTTCATGACTTGAGTGATACGTGTTCGTCTTGCGTATGTGAAGCGTGTCACGGTGGGAGTGAGGTGTTGCATCATTTGACAGGTTGATAAAACTAACCAAATAACAGTTTTTTTTGTTTATAGCACAAGTGTGTATTGATTTTCTAGGCCAACCATACTTACCAAAACCAATTAAAATTATAATGATAATCCCTTCTTAATCTCATGGCTCAACCTAATATTGAGGTCACGTAACTAGTATGGCTCTTGTGAATAAAAACAAGTAGCTGTTACAATTCTTTCTAGCTTGTTGCAAAAACTAACTATACGGTTCCGTGTGTGTTTACTTCCGCAAAGGTGGTTATTGTCGAGTGTAGTTTTAGTGTTATCGTTTCATTACAACAACATTGATACAAAACCATACATGTCTTTTGAGGAAACATATACATCTTCGGACTACTGTTTTGTATGTGATTTAGTTTAAGGCCTTTGATTGAAACTATAGTAGTGAGCCTATGAACTGAATCAGCTAACTATATATAACGACGAAAGTAAAGCCCAACACATAAGCCCATTACTCAGAAAGAGAAGCATAGCAATGGAATCAAAAAGTCGAAAAGAAAAAAAAAAAGGCAATGAAGCAAAATGCCGATTACAACATGGATGGATGATGACGACGATGTCAATGATGCAACCAAAACTCTGTGAAAAGTCATCATCTCTCCTCACAGTGACATCATCCAAACCTATCTCTCTCTCTTTCTCTCTCTCTCAAATCTAAACTCATACAACACAAACCATAATCCAGTTTCTCCTCTAATACCTCCGAACAAAGCAAAATCAAGAGCAAGAGCAGGTGGTGGTGTGTTTGTTCTTGATCTTAACACCAAACTCACCTGCAATGATAACAGTGGAAGCCATATCGAGAAACATGCCATGCTCAACAACTCCAGGAAGCCTCAGAATCGCATCACTCACAGCTCCCAAGTCTCCCATGTCCTCCTCCAAGTGCATATCCACTATGTAATTCCCATTGTCCGTCACAAACGGCTCACCTTTCTCTCCCAATCTCAGATTCGCTTCGCACCCGTATCCCTCAAGCAGAGCCCGGAGCTTCTCCGCCGTGAATTTCCAGCAGAAGGGGACAATCTCCACCGGAAGAGCAAGCTTGCTCCCGCCAATGTGCTTCACCATCTTGGACTCGTCCACGATGACCACGAACTTCTTAGAAGCTCCTTCGATCATCTTCTCTCGAAGCAGAGACCCTCCCCTGCCTTTGACGAGGTTGAGAAAAGGGTCGACCTCGTCAGCGCCGTCGATGGAGAGATCAATGACGGGGTGGGCGTCGAGATCAGAGAGAGGGATGCCGAGAGAGAGAGCCTGCTCCTGCGTCTTCTTCGACGTCGGAATCCCAACGATGTTCTCGAGTTTTCCATGGCGGAGAAGCTCGCCGATGCGGTCGACGGCGTGTTTGGCGGTGGAGCCGGTGCCGAGGCCGAGGACCATGCCGGATTGGACGAAATCGACGGCCTTGTAAGCGGCGATACGTTTGAGATCGTCTTGGGTTAAAAGGATGGGATGTGTGGGTGCGGCAACAACATCAATTTTGTCGGATGAAATGAAGAGAGGATCATACGCAAGCGCCATTGGGATACCCTCTGCCTCAATTTTGCAGAAAGAAACCGAAACGTTTTGGAAAGGAAACCAAATATGTAAACCTCGCAGCACAAGGAAATGGAGAAGCAGAATTGGGCGGTGGAATTGGGAGAAAGGTTTGGTTTTTTTTTTGGAGGAATTAGGGATTGAAGGAAAAATGAATGTACAAGGTCGAATGAATGAAGTGTCTGCGTACTTATATATATATAGGGAGCTATGGAGAATAATAGCGTAAGAACTATGCAACTATGCAAAGAAGAATGAATGAATGAGTTTGTGCGGTGGCGGAGAAAAGAAAAAGAAAATGACTGAAGAAGATTAAGATAGGGTTTGTGTTTGTGGAGAGAGAGAGAACAACCGAATACTCTCCTACATATTAAAAAAAGACACACTTCACTTTCTCGAGGTTATCGGACAGACCCGAATCTTTCGGTTCTGTTTATTGTCCTTATTTGCATAAACTGCCCCCCAAACTCTATTGATCATTTCCAAATTCCCCTTCGTATTTTTTAAAATCATTTTGACGCACCCTACATTTACTTGAAGTAATAGAGAATGAATAACGTTTAAAAGTACACACTGTATATTGGAGCTACAATATCAGAAAGCGTGACGGCGGATATTTGATGGGTCAATTTTTAAGGAAAGGAAAAATTGGGACAACGTTGTTGATCAATACATAGTGGGATGATTAAATAGTACCATTTTTTTTATGATAAATTACTACATCTACGACTACGAGTATAAATAAGTTAAAGAGAATCATGTATAAGTTAAAATATACTTTTATGTAACATGGTCAGGTCACGCAGAAGTTATTTTGTTTGGACCAAAAAGGAGCAACCAGAGACGCCGTTCTATTGTCCACTCTCCCCTTCTTTTTTTTTTTTTTTTGAATTTAATGTTAAATTATATTCAAAATAAAAATGGTTCGTTGTTACAACAAGTGCTAACGGTTGGTCGATAGAATCTTAGAGATCTAGAAAAAGAGTTGAAAGCCTTAGATTAGAATTGAAAGGGAGGAGATAGAAGATAGCCCTCAAGGTGTGTGACGAGAATGCAGCCAGGATTGGAAGCTTGCATCGTATCGATGGTCTCCTAGTCGCCGGATCATAGAACATTGGTCCCGGACCTGCTTGTCTATCCATTTAGTCAACTGCCGAGTCGTATGCTGAGCATTCCCGTGATGTCGATCGTTTCGTTCTCTCCATATAGTGTGAACTGTGACTTGGAGAACATAGCGAGCAAGGAAGCTCTCCACGCGGGTCGGCCAAGTAGAGGAGATTGTGTGAAGAATCTGAGGCCAAATGGTTGTGTACTTGGTGTTGTACACTCCCTTTGCTAGATTTTCCCAAACTTCTCTAGTGAAAGAACATTGAAAGAATAGGTGGTCGCGAGTCTCAAGGCCATTGTTACACAGCACACAAGACCCCGAGATCCCCCTATTCCACTGAGCCATACGCGCGCCTGTGGACAGCCGGTCATGAACAGCTAGCCAAACGCAGAAAGTGTACTTCGGAGTTGCGTGAGAGAACCAAACACCCTTGTGCCAAGAGACTTGGGGTGATTGTGCTCGAATCTGGTTCCAAGTATCTGTCGTGGAGAATTTAGGGTTGAAGACATTATTTTTGCCACGCCATAAGACCACGTCCTCTTGGTTTGTGGCTCGGATATGTTGAGCAGCTAAAGCAGTTTCAATGGCGTTTAGTTGTTCATTTCTATGCCGTCGTCGTCGCCGGGAAGACCAAGCCTCTGCAACCGTCATGTCCCTAGTTATGCCCGTGTCTATCACCCCACGATTTCCTACAATGTCAAAAAGACGACCCATATTAGACCAATTATCGAACCAGAAAGAAGCATGACTGCCATTACCAATATCGATTTTACAAAAAGTGGAAGCAACTTCCCTGTATTTGAGAAGCTTCCTCCAAATCCAGGAACCATTAGTTGTCGTCCTAGCTGTCCAGAGAGAACTCTTCTGTAAGAGATACCGTCGTACCCACTTAATCCATAGAGAGTCACTATTGGAAAGGATTTTCCAAACCAGCTTCAGGCAGCTCACATCGTTTGCCTCTTTTAAATTCCTAAGACCCAGTCCTCCCTCTTCCTTTGGAGTACAAATTCTCTCCCAAGCGACTTTAGCTTTTTGAGGATTCATTTCCGTGCCGGACCAGAGAAAAGCTGAGCACAGGTGATCAACTTCTTTAATACAAGAGCGAGGAAGGCGGTAAACACCTATCCAAAAATTGCATAAGCTCCACAGAACCGAGCTGATTAGATTTAGGCGACCCGCAAAAGAGAGATAGCGGTTAGTCCAAGTGCTTATCCGCTTCTTGATATGCTCTAGAAGGGGGGAGTAGTCGCGAGTCGTTAGCCGTTTGGTTACTAGGGGAAGTCCCAAGTAACGGATAGGCAAAGACCCAACTTCAAAAGAGAAGAGACTGGCCAGCTGGTTCCGATTTGCTTCCGAGCACCCTGCCAGAAACAAAGTGGACTTCTCCATACTAATTTTTAGACCCGAGAATTTAGCAAAACGATCAAAGACCTGGGCAATCCCTTCAATGGAACGACGTTTACCATCCGAGAGCACCATAAGGTCGTCAGCAAAGCTTAAGTGGGTTAACTCGAGGTGTTTGCAGCGCGGGTGATAGCCCATATGGCCTTCTCCTGCAGCCTTGTCAAGTAACTTTGAGAGAACATCCATACACATGACGAATAAGTAAGGGGAGAGCGAGCAACCTTGTCTAAGACCCCTTGTGCTTTGAAAATAGCCAGTGAGCTCACCATTTACTTGAACCGAGAAGGACGCGGTACTAACGCAAAGAGTAATCCAGTGAATATACCTTGGAGGGAAATGCATAGCGGAAAAAATGTTGAAAAGAAAAGACCATTGAACTGAATCAAAAGCTTTGGAGATATCAATCTTAATTGCACATCTTTCCGAAATTGAGGTCTTGTGGTAGTCTTTAACCAACTCAGTTGCGAGTAACACATTTTCGATCAACAAACGGTCTTGAACAAAAGCCGATTGGTTGCTTGCAATAAACTTTGGGAGAAGCTGCTTTAACCGGTTAGCAAGAATTTTGGAAATAACTTTGTAGAGAACATTGCAGCAAGAGATAGGACGATAGTCTTTCATTTCTTTCACATCCAACTTCTTAGGGATAAGAGCAAGAATGGTAGAATTTATCCCTTTTGGCAAGAAACCTTTCTCAAAAAAAGCTTGGATAGCCATAGTAAACTCCTTACCCAGAACACTCCAAGTAGCTTTATAAAATTCTGATGTAAATCCATCCGGACCCGGAGACTTGTCATTCGGCATAGCAAATAAGGTCCGTTTAATCTCCTCTTCCGTGACTATAGCAGTGAGTATATGTTGATCGATCTCTGTGCAGCGAAAAGGGAGCATCTTCTGAAGCTCATCGATCTCCATGCCTGTGTAGTCCGTGGGTTTAAATTGAAGGAAGTCCCTAAAAAATCTTTCCGCTTCGGATTTAATTTCTTCCCCCCTTATAACACGCCCATCGCTATGAAGAATTTCCCGAATGGTATTCCTAGCTTTCCTGGATGCAACAGCACGATGAAAAGTCTTATTGTTTTTATCACCAACCTTTAACCAGTGGAGTTTCGACAACTGCTTAAGGTATTTCTCTTCCAAACCGGCCACATGATCCCATTTAAGATAAGCCGCAGTTTCTTCTTCCATCGTAGTGGGAGATGGGTTAGCTAAATTCGCTGCTTGCTTACTACAAAGCCTCTCCCCTTCTTTTAGCCAAAACAAATCAGAAAATGAAATTTACCGACAACAACAAGATCATTAACACTGGACCAAGAACAAAAAAAAAACTCCACTAACTTATCAACATATATTTATTACCAATATTTATCATCGCATTCATTGACGTATCAAGGAAAATTACAAGCATATCTTACTGCTTAAGCTAATATATATAAGAAAAATCAATCATCAGATAAATAATCAAAGAATATATATATATGGTTGGTTTACAAATTAAGCTAATATATAGTATATATATTCACATGCGTGATTAAAAGAATGGCATCAGGGCATCAGATCAGGCCACGGTGGCAGAGGTAGCGGCGGCGAGAAGCCAATGAAGGAGGTCAAGAAGGCGAAAGGCGATGGCGGTGGAGGAAACGGGAAGGCTGACGGTGAGGAAAAGCAGCGTAGCGATAGCGACGGTGGGGCGAGAGTTCATGAGGAAGCTCTGAAGGAGACCAACGGAGTCGCAGATAACAGAGTCGTAGCTGCTGTAGAAACGCTTCTCCCAATCCATCCAGTGGGAAGGAGGCTCGTAGTTACGCTCGACCATCTTCGTCTCGTGGATGCGTTTCCTGAGAACGATCATGTTCTCGTCCACCAGTCTCCCTCCTCCGTAGTAATGGTCTTTCCCTGAAGAAGCCGCCGCAGCAGAGACGCTCAGCATCTTCATCATCTTCTTCGGGGATGTTGGCAAAAGTACCAATGGATGGAATCGGAGAGGTGAAATCGAAGCTGGCGAAGAAAGCAGTGTAGCCTCCATTGTATGCAGATTTGTTTGATTTGTGTTATGGTTATTTGTTGTTGGATTGGAATAATCAGGGGATGATGAAGATGATGGACAGTTGGTAATGTATTTATAACCGAATCATTTAGAAGATAAAACCAATAGAGTATAATATATAATAAAGTAGTCCAATATTAAAATAAAAAATGGTGTGTGGGGGATACATACATATGATGATATATGATTTAAGCGCGTTGCCATCTTCAACTTGCCTTCTCCTCCACGTCATTTTCGGCTGATTCCTTCTATTAATAAAATCTGCTTACACCATCAGAATCGGCTCGAAAATGGTGTTTTTTTTCTTCTCGATTGAAAATGCATTACCTAGTCGTTGTTTGTTTATGTCTATGAGATCCCCCGCTTCCGTAATTGAGACAAATGTTAGAATGTCATAATATGTATATACTCTCGTTCGTTAGATAATTTAATTAATGGAAACATATGTTAAGGGGTTCAAGAAAAGTGATGGATGACAGATGCAATGACAAGATGTGTACAGTTGATGCATATTGTGAAAAGGATCTTCCTACGGTACGTTAACCTGATTGACAATGATAGCTTGTTGGATTGGAAGACACGGGAAAGAGGAAAGTGAGGTGAAATTGAGAAACCCTCCATTAAAAACTAACATTAATAATGCACATGATAGATGTCCCCAAAATATATGCATATAGCGACTCTTTCCTATGCTACTCATTTTAATAGAAAAATATATAACTCTCCCAATCTTTATTATATCCATTGATTTTTTATAAGAAATTTGACCTGCCCATTTGTTTATTTGGTTGCACCTGAAAAGGCGTACAAGTCGCCAAGTCGGTGCCCTTTTTTGTTTTCTAACATTATGCTCACCTTACTTGTTCTATATTTTCTGAAAGTTGGATGTTGTAGTTAGTACAAGTAGAAAGGTTTTAATTCTCTTGTCCAAAAACATACCATTTCTTTGAAGGAAACCATAAGCAGACCTTGAGTTTTTGTTCGGCTGTTTGTTTGTTTATTAAGTTTCTTTTTTTTAGTTGACAACGTCGTAAAGGGTGCGAGAATGTTTGGACCGGACGCCACGTCCACTCACGGAATCAGATGGGTATTTGACTTTTCTCCCAATGGGCGGCTTCTTATGTAACTATATTTTCTTAATCATTTGTTTGGTTAGGGAAATTAATTCGGTTATTAGTATAGTCAAATAATCTATAAGTTGAGTTTGGTTGGATCGAAATCTTCAGACGTCGCTCCTGACGTTACCACTATCGAGTTTTCTCAGCCAATGTTCAATGTTCCCGACCAAGTATATACCTTCTTTTCTTCCTCACTTTTTTTTGTTTTGTTTTGAAAGTCACCACAATGGACCTTTTCTTCGCCTAAATCTAATACTAAATTCTGAAACTAGTGTCAAAACCATGTTTTTTCTTATATTTATTTTGGATAGACCGATACAAGAGATTTTTAAGTCAAAGAGTTGAAGAAGCCTAAGGAAATGAAGATTAGTCTTACATTGGCTTTGAGGCAGAGATCTCTTGTAAGAGGATCGACTCTTTTATTCAAATCCCTTTATTCTCTCATTTGCTACCTGCTGGAGAATGGAGATGAATCCATCATCACCACAAAGCTCAATTTACCAACTAATAAGCTACCATGAATGTGTGTATGTGTATGTATACATAGATCTTTCTTTCTCTCTTTCACCTTTTAGTTATGCGTGTTCTTCTTAGTATGTTCTTTTCAGTGATTATTAGTAACTACAGTTTTTACAAACCTTCGAGGACAAAGGGACGGATTTCGTCAAGCTCATCTGAACCCGATGTTTTACTTTGATCCTCAAGTGGCTGCTTGAGATCATCTTCAGGTTGCCCCCCTTGATCAACCTCTGCTTCATCCAGCTGCTCTCCTGGATTCTCAGTATCTCCATCGTCATGAAGATGCTCAAGCTTTTGATACTTTGGCTTGTTTTTCTCCAGGAGAAGGTACGTGGCACTATACCAGAACATCAGAATCCGGCTTTGAGCTGCTATCGTTTCCCTTATCCGCTTTCCTCCAAACGACAGTCGTTCTAGCGCCTGCCACAAACATGTCATCTCGGATGACCTCAAAGACAGGAGAAATAAATGTAGTTTTTCATAAACCAGTTTTTACCTGTTCTCCAGTTTGGACGTCAAAAGAGTTCTGATGATCAAACTCGAGGCCGCTGAATTCGTTGATGCAGAGTCCCTGGAAGGCCCTGAACAAAGATGAGCGGATGCAAATACTTAAGCGAGTTGATATATAGGCGAGTTCATCACTATTGTATAGTACTTTGGGATGAGGTGATTCACCATCTGATTAATGAAGCACGAGGAATCCAACGGAAGATGATGGGGGTGTTGTCTGCATTGACATAGTAACCTCCAAACACGATGAAAACTGTCATGAGAGACGGTCCCACAGCCATTGCAGCTTCTGTGCTTGGAACCATAGCTCCAACAGTTAGACCCATTGCAGAAGCAGCAAAAGACTCCACAGTCACTATCCCACAAAACTTTCCAAATCTGTCAAGAAATTTCTTTGTTAGGGACGTTGCTGAGAGCATTTCTGACTTTGCTCAAATACAAATAGAAGGCTCAAGAATAGCTTATCAGTGCCATGTGGGTTAGAGCGTGTGCATAACATTTTCTTAGTGGTCATATCGAAGGATAAAAAAAGGAAGCTCAGGATTTAGGAACTACCTTGACAAAGTGGGATTTAGGCGAGCCATGGGGTATAGTACAGCACCAAACATCAACGGAAATGCTGCTCCAATCGGAATTTCAGCTATTGTTTTGGAGAGCAGGTAAGGGCCTAAAGAATAAGACCCTTTGGACCGTTCTCTATCCACAATGGCACGCTCCTTAGGAAAAACTCCAACTGTCTTTGTGAGAGCTGCCATTGCCGTGTTTATTGCAGCAACCTGAAGTATATACATATATAATTTCTAAGTATGCATAAAGGCTATCATATTAACTATTACTTTTATTAGTAACTCAAAAACCAAGGTTTATAAAGCAAAAGCAAAGACCTGAAGCAAACCCATTCTGTCCTGAATTGATGTTTGAGACTTCCCCATTCTCCAGAAAACGGACCCAAATATCAGAGCAGATGCAACAGACATTCTAGCACGGACTTTGTTTGTTGGCCCATCTCGAGAAGCCTGTGGAGTCATATGAATAATTAATCAGAAAACTGCTCAAGTTATCTAAGACAGTATGTACAGTACAAGGAACCTTCTATGATGTCTACGGATTCGGGTGCAACTTTAGAAACACATTTAAAAAAATAATCAAACGACATAAGGAGACAGACAGCTTCAAAATTCTCCAATATATCTCAGCATGACATAGAAAGGTTTATATAGATAGGAGGACACCTGCATCCATGCACGCTTAAGCAGCAAGAAAAACTGCCTCCACCAACCATCTTTTCTCCCAACCATGGCTTTTCTGCGAGGTCTCATTGTTTCATCTTTAATGCCGAGGGGAGTAGCATACAGAACCGATGATGAACGCTGGGAGAATGCATCAACAAGAGCATGTACTCTCTTCTGCGAAGAGTAGATACTCTCTGAAGAGCTATAGTCAACTGATATAAGATCAGCAAGAAACTCAGCAGGGTTTACTTGCTCTGGGCAAAGAAACCTGCACAAGGATCAGAAAAACAGTTGTTAGATGGCAATCCTAAATCACTTGCTTAATTTTGACATGTGATATATAAAAGGAAACGTTCAGAAAAACTACCCGAAGTTTCCGAAATATGACATAGGTTCTTTCCCTGCAGGGCCGGCATAGACTAAAGCTCCTTCTGTAAGTAACACAATGTCGTCAAATTTAGCGTACACTGAACCTCTAGGCTGGTGTATGGAGCAGATCACAGTGTGTCCATCCTGTGCAAGCTTTTGCAATGTCTCCATCACTTTCTCAGCCTGGAAAGCATCAAGCCCTGAAGACCACATGAATATTCATCAGTTTTAAACCCAAATCATCAATGTTTAGAATCAGACAGAGCAGACATCTACCAGTTGTAGGTTCATCAGCAAATATGACAGAGGGACTAGCGATCAATTCACACGCAAGTGATAGCCGCTTCTTTTCTCCACCACTGATCCCACGAACCTTTGCATCGCCAACACATGAATCTGCACAGCTGACCTTTTGGAGAGCCACAAAGGATAATCAAGAAACAGATTCCAGGATTCAACGCCGGATAATCCAAAAAAACAATGCAGAGATGAATGAAACCTCACCAGACCAAGGTTGAGCAAGAGGTTGTTCACATACTCATCCCTATCCTCAGCAGAAGAGATATGCGGAAGCTGAAGCTCGGCTGCGAAAGAAAGGGTTTCCCTGACAGTCAACTGGGAGAAGAAGAGATCCTCCTGTCTCACAAAGGCAAGCTTATAAGCCTTGCTAGAGCTCGGTTTGCCATTGACCTCCAAGAGACCAGACAAATGCAAACGTGGGGATGAACCAAGCTGTCCAGCTAGAACATTGAGCAATGTTGTCTTCCCAGATCCAGAAGGACCCATTATCGCTAGCAACCTCCCAGGTTTTGCTTCTCCAGAGACATTTTTCAACAAAAACCGCACCTGGGAGAGAGTCACATAATCAACCACTTATGATTCAGCAAAAGAGCAAAACAACATCGAAATTGTTAAAGGAGAAGAATATGTGCTCACCGATTTGGAGGACTTATCGGAGAGAGAGCAGGTGATGTTCCTCCAACGGATTGTCACCGGGCGAATTTTCCCCGGCGAAGAATCACCACCGTCTTCCGGCTCGGCGTAATCATCGTCAGCTTCGTTTTCAGGTTGGAGGGCGATGCCCGGTCCTGCGAAGAGGCGGACCAACAGAGCGGCGGCCACAGCGGCCAAAGCCCGGCCAACTCCATTCCCTCCGATGCCAGAAACAGCGTCGACTATGGATTTCCCGCCAAAAGACGCCATAATCTGTATCCCTGCGTAAGTGTAGTGTCGTTTTCTCCTTGGAAGCTCAGGTGAGGTCAAGCTTCAAAGTTCAAAGCCGTACAAAGCACACTCGTAAGAACCAAGTCCAACCAAAGGCAAGGCTCCAAACATTATCTCTTCCCTTAATTATTTTACATTTGTTTAAATTTTCGCTTAATTAATTACCTTATGCTTATGGCATATGTTTTTTTAATTCGGCGTCGTTTCATTAATTACACTGATTTGAACGACGGAGTGACTTGACCATTGATATTCGCTAGATTTAGACACAAGTGCATTTCATGATAAGATACTTAAAGCTTAAAATACAAACAAACCACTGTCAAATACTCAAATATAGAGATAAAGATTAGAGACTACACAATTTTCAAGGATAGTTAAAAAAGCTTATAACAGCAAGTCTGCTTTGGGTCATTGAGACTCGATGTGCCATAAACGAACCGAAGCATCTTCCCCGGAACTTGCTACTGTGCATTCATCAACGAAAGCTACTGCGTTCACTCCGCCAAGATGAGCGTTTCTTACAGTCATGCGACTCGAAGCTGGCTTGTCCACTTCGTATACAATGACGCAAGTGTCTATGGACCCAGTGGCGACCATCTTGTTGTTTGGTGACCATGCCAAGCAGTTTATACGAGCCGTATGGAACAACATGTTGTTTAGCTTCACCTGCAAAGCCAAAAACCGCACTACCAGATTAGTGTTTAAGCATTGATTAAACATACATAAAGACACACAAGAACGTCTCTAATCACGTCACCTGTTTGGTCTCGCGATCCCAGACTACAGCTTCGCGGTTGGCGTCACCAGAAGCAAACATTGTTAAGTCAGGAGAGTAACGTATCACCGTCAAAGCACCTCTGTGTTTCTCTAGCACAGCCTCTTCTTTGAAGCTGTTGTCCCCTGAGACTGAGTAAATGTGTAACTTTCCATCTTGCCCTCCTACTATCGCTTCCCTCCCATCAGGTGAGATCACAGAGGCTGCCACTACAAAACCCAGATCGATCTTGTTTAAAATGCTCATACCATTGAGCAATGCAATTCCAGAATCAAACGAGACTAGTGCTGTGAATCCAGGCGAATCAACGGCTATGCTTATGTCCAAAGGCTGATGGCCTATATCGACATGTTCTGCAGCTCCAAATTTATCGTCAGTTAAAGGGATTCTCCACACCTGTCAAGAATTGAAGAAGTCATACTCGATGTAACCACCAACTTTAACACAATCCAAATTCATGTCCCATTGAAGAAATGTGTGTTTGAGATCAGAACTTTTACCTTGTTATCAAACCCGGATAAGAGAATGCTAGATTCAGTAGCTGCTAATCGCTTGATTTTCATATTGTCATTCATTTGTAGCTTGCAACTGTACCCAACCCCTTGTAACCATTTAACAATGAGACCATCATAGCTACAAGACAGAATCGTCTTCTGGTTTGTCCCAAGAACAGCCAAAGAAGTGACGTTCTTTATATGTCCAGATAACAGCAAGGGAGGTTTATCCATATCATCAGCAGAGTACAAGGACATGGTACCGCCAAGAGACACTGTAATGAGATGATCGTTCTGCCAAAGACATCCCACAAGCATGTCTTCTGCTCCACCAGATTCCATAAACGTCAATGTCTTAATCACTGAGCCAACAGTTCCGTCTTCAGATACCTCCCATACCTTGGCAGACTTATCAGCAGAGACAGTGAGCACCTAAAAACTCGTCAATGTCAGTAACATAGCATATAGTTTGGCAACACATTGATATCCCTAAAAGCATTACCCGCTTGCTGTCGGGGCTCCAGCTAACAGCGTAGATACTGCCTTTGTGGCCATCTGCGGAGTCCAATTCTCCAATTTTATCTCCAGTCTTGCCATCGTAAATCATACCCTTTTTGTCGGAGCTTACGGTAATGAATTTAGTACCGTCAGGTGAATATCTGATGCAGTTGACGAAGTTGGAATGCTCCCTGTGAAGCAGCAGACGTATCAATATTATTAGTAGTCAAGAATACAAACAAAGTGTTTGAATATCATATAGATATATGATAGATTGAGGAAAAGAAAGTTGCCTGTGAGAAGAGTGAAACTTAAAAGGTGGACCGTCGTAAAAGTTAACCAAGAAGTCTTCGCCGCATGTGGCGATTCGGAAAGGCCGCGTTGGCTTGAAGGCACAACTCAGAACTCTACGAGAATGGCCGTCAAAATCTCCCATTGTATTCCCAGAGTCCCATCTATACATCAAATATATATAAGAAACGCAAATTTGATCAAGCCTGCCTCTATAGACCATTCGAGCAGTTTCCAGGTAATCCAATCTCAGAAACACAAAGAAAAACTCATGGAACCTTACTAGCTTGTTAGCCAAATTTCAAAGGAAACTCTAAAATCACATACAAAATACAAAACTTGAATCTCTAAAGAAGAAGAAGAAGTGGTTGGAGAACTCACGCAAAGGCTCGAACAAGCGATTTGCCCTTTCCATCGCCGGAAGCGACAATGCGAAGCCCATCCAAGGACCACTGGAGATCATCGATTCGACCAGCGAGGACTCTGAATTCATTCTTGAGAACGAAACCGTTGTGCGTTCCCCAAACGCGAACCGTGCCGGAGACATCAGCAGAAGCAATCCACTCGCCGTTGGGAGAGTAGCGAGCGACGGTAACAGCATAGCCGTGCTCTCCGTAAACCTGGACGTCTTGAGGTTGACGGAGGCTCCGAATGAAGACGGAGCGGCCGTTGCAGTAGAGAATGGAGTCGGATTTGGGGTCGCCGGCGATGAGAATGCCACGGCCTCGTTCGGTGGAGGGAACGCAAGGAAAGGTCTCGAGCAGTTTGGCCATGGTGGAATTGGTAGGGAGAGAGAGAGATAGGACAAGGAAGGAGTGCGTGCCTCATTTCTTCTTCTTCTTCTTCTTGAGAGAGAGAGAGAGAGAGAGAGAGTTTAGGAGCAATTAACAATGGCGGAAATTAAGGTTTGGGAATTTTGAACGATTCTTCTGTCTTTCTCTCTCTCCCTATCGTACCAAAAATATATGGACCCGAAATGAAATTGTATTTATAGAACGGGCCTGCGGAAACCCATTTAATAAAACGGATCAGCCTTAGGTGTTTTTCTCTCTCCCTATGGAAATTAACAAATTGAACCGGTCGGTTAAGTCTCTCCATGAAATCTAATCCAGCAGCTTCCCAATGGCCGCCGGAGGCAACAGTACGGAACATTCTCTTAAATGATTGGTTAATAAACCTCTGTCTGTTTCCTTCAGGGGTTTTGATCTTACGTGGAATTATTTTTACTTTTTTTTATTAAAAAATCAGTTTTGATGATATTGACTATTGAGATTGATCCCAATTACCGAGTCAATTTTTGATTGGGCCTCAAAATTGTTTCTAAAAGGCCCGTTTAGACCACAAACCGACTCCTGGATATCTATATACATATGCTTGTAGCTTTTGTTTTTCACATCAGGTCAGGTGTTTCGATTCGATAAAGAGTTGGAGAAGACTCGGATATGAAACCGCAAAGAAGAAAGACCGCTGGCCGGAGGACGAAGGAAGGTGAAGGCCATAATAATATTGGTTTCGATCTCAACTCCGTCCCTCCTGAAGAATGTGAAGGTGGTAATAATATTGGCTTCGATCTCAACTCCGTCCCTGCTGAATGTGAATGTGAAGGCGATAACAGTTGTTTCGATCTCAGTTCCATAAAGCTTGCAATTAACGATGTCGCAGCAAAGAGCAAGGTGATCCAGAAACGACGTATTATGGTCAACGGGAAGCCTCTGTCAGATACGACAATTCGCCTTTTAGAAGAAAGAGAATGGCTAAACGAGGAGTATATGAATCTCGTCCTTAATCTTAGAGCCAGAGGCATGTCAATACCATATTAATACCATAACTGTTTACTCTTTTTTATATAATCCTTATAGGGTTTTCTTTTTCTTTGGATTCTTTACCATAAAATTGTATGTATATTCGGATTACAATAAATAAAAATGCTTTCGACATATTATAACTACTAGTAGTCACAAACAGTCCAACCCGTTTATGTAATACAATAATACTAATGATAATATTACTATTATTGGCATATATCATGGTTACAAAAATCAATGCCGGGAACAAGTCCCTCAACCCACACAGTATCTCCGGGTCTGGCAGATGTAACGCCAGGGACTTGAGCCTGAATATCTCTACCCATCAGAAAAGGAAGGAAGAAACTCATGAAGAAGGATAAAAGAAAAGGCATCTCACATAGAATTCAACAAACTGACGTAAATGACTTGCCTTTTCCCCCATTTGAATTAACTGGGTCCGTTTCAGGTGTATGACTTGTTGATGGGTCATCTTCCTGGCTTTGTGGAAACACAAAAGAATGTGGAAGAGGAATGTTCAAGGCACGACTCCAGAATACAGAATTTGCCCTGGGGTAATGGAAAAGGTCTCAAGATCACAAAGCAGCCCTTTACAGCACACAAAACTCTGATTCTACTAACAAGAGATAACACCACTAGCCAACATACCAGAGGAAATGTTCAAAGGAGACCTCGCTGCACCAAAGACTAAACAAAATATGATTGGTTCAAGCACCAATGAACAGCAATTTGTAAATATGTTACGTATGTTAACCTTTCGGAATCACCATCCAAAAGTAAGAGCTTTTTCACCAGGGCCTCCACCTTCCCATGGTAAAGCGACATCAACTTCTTCTTCTGGAAAGGGAGTACCATCAAACAAAAAAATGAATTCATTTCCCAAATAATTAGTTTGATCACTGGAACGAGAAAATGTGGCTGCAATTTTCAGGACCATATGATAGAACATGATATAGGCATAAATTTTAAAGATTTACACACCTGTAACTCAGTTGCATGATATAAGTTTGTCCCCTTGAGCTCAAGGATCTCAGAATCAGAAAACCAAAGAGGATTGCAGAATCGAGTAGGAAGCATATCAAGGTACCTATCATATCATTTATAGACAGATGAATCCCCTTAAAACTTAGGCAAAATCTGTGGTAAGAGATGCGAACTTACAGCTTCCACTAAGAATTGATTCGAAGAGTGAGAAACAAAATCATGAGCAAGCGATCATCAACTTGTCCTTCTGGGAACATTTTTTGACACTTTGGGGAGACGAGAGGGTACTACTCCTGAAAGAACTCTCATAGGGGTAATGGCCAAACCAAGCGCACAACAAGCAAGACATCTGAAATATTCCAAAGCTGATATCAATCAGAAAGAAGAGAAAAAAAAAAACTACTTAACAGAGGTGATAAACTCAATGTTCCATATATTTTCCAGAAAAAGGAAAAAAAATGTGAATCTATCGTAAGTCTTCTTGGCATTGACAATAATATTACATCAGATGGTTGAGTGGAGGCGAATATGCCAAATCCTTTTTGTGAGGCAGAACATTTGATATTGCAGCCATTTAATTTAACATTTTTAAAGACACTTATGAAAAAACCCTCATTTTGCTCACTTATTTACAATCTTCTGCCACTAGCTTTATTTTTTAAAACTTTAAAAAAGAAAAAATTCGCAAACAAACTTAGAACCCAAAAAAAATCGAAGCCCAAAGAAATTAAGCCCAACTGTTTGTCACCTCTGCGTGACCTCCGCCATCACCGAAGATCTCTACATATCTCTCTGTCAATATCTTCATTTAGAAAATCTCATCAAAAACCCATAAATCACGCAAATTGTGCTTCCCAACTTATGGAAGGATCGCAACTACTATCCATATATCCCTGCATGATAAACAACTCAATTTATATTAATTCATCGTCATTATCTTCAATTAAAACAGATTAAAATCACTTAATCGAATAAAATCAGCAATGATTACTATATACCCGGAATTACGCTATTTATTCGATTTCTACCTTGATTCTTCAACTGAAATCAAAACTAAATTATACACTTATCGAACTACTATAAATAGTGAGCTTCTGTAACGAAAAAAACCCATCACACTCACAAACAATCATTCAGCTTACTGAAACTTGCTTTCACTTCCATCTCATCAATGGCGGCCACCTTTGCTTTCCTCAAGGACGTCCGCCCATACGGCATGGAGAGTTCAAGTGAAGATGCTCCATTCCTGGCGCCAATACACACAAGACACTGGTGAAACGTTAGAGATGATTCTCTCTGATGAACTGGTAATTGCTTTGAATTCTATCATTACATGCTCCCAAATTGTTTTATATAAGTTTACATTGAAGAAACGATTGAAAATAATAATTCTAGACAAAGAGGGAAGATTCAGAAACAAACAACAAATGTTATTTTCAAGGAAGTTTTCGAAAATATGAACTGACTAACATCGAGTCAGAGAGTGTGGGAGCATCAATGGACAAGGTTATATTCCTTTCTCTATAATTTCGGGTACATTACATGCCTAATAGTGTAAACCAGATCCATATTAAACACCACATTGACTAAAAGGATTCTAATTATTTGTAGGGTTCGGCTAACACATTCAGAGGACAAACGTGGAGGTCAAAGATCAAGACTCTTGATTCAAGAGTAATGATCAATGTTGATTAAACAATTCCATTATTTACACTTGAAGCAATAATTTTAAAGTTTAATACCCCATGGGACAAGCACGTTTATGTTTACTTTTCTTAAAGGATGTTCTTATTTCCTGTTAATGAACTATTATTAGATTCATTTATCCGTTTAACTGTTTCCCCTAGCTCTTTAAGACAACACCAGAAATACTATTTCAACAAAAATCGCCACCTACTGAAACTAAGCTGGAAGATTTAAAGAATCTAACCTTCATTATGTGATATTATGTTCTGCTGCACCTGCAATTCAAAATATAAAATTTCAAATCAGAACCTTCACGAATGCAAATATAAGCTACATTCATATAGTCTACAAACATAAAAGTTCATTGATTGAATTAATACCCAAGTTTGACCTTATTTAAGCGCATAAAATAAGCATATCATCATTGAAATTAAACTCCAACAAATACTAAAGCGCTTCTACAGACTGAAATATTTTAAAAGAAACTAAACATTGGTTATTCCATTTCCAGTGATATGGTGAACACATCAGAGACCAAAATCTTTAAACAATCTCCATTAACAAACAAACCGACTCAACTACTAGATACGGTAATATTACATATCTATTATATTAACACTTTGTTCACAAACTCTTCAATGGAGTTTTACTATTCTACATTCATAAGAAATATCCAAATATTGAATGGTTCATTCCGTAAACCTGAAACGCTAACTTCAGTAGCTCTCAAAACTGATTTCTCAAATTACCTACTTTGTCGTAAAGAAAATTTAACGATCCACAATCAGAAAAATCAGTTTTGAAAAAAGCTTAGGAAGTGCACAACTACAATTGGGGGAAAGATGTATTACTAATATAATCAACAGGATTACAGAAACTGTTTTACCTCTAGATATTGGGAAACGATCGATTGTGTGAAGCGGAATCGTCGAAATGGAAATTATACCCAACTAGCTGCTTCAAACAGAAGATAAAACTTCAAGGATCTACAAGCAAATCGATCGTGATTCTCGGCAATTAAGGAACGGAACCGGATTTAGGTGTGGGTAAGTGTAGATTTCTTTGCTTTTGAAAGATTTCATCGAACGGAACCTGATTTAGTGTTCATCGAATTCAACTAAGTGGAATATGTACGAGATAAAAGGAAATCACAATGAATTAACTTCTTTAATTTAACCCATTAAACCATCATTATTTTTCACTGTCTTATTCTCCGGTTTACTCCGTTACTAATGCTTACCATAGCAAAAAAAAAAATTAAATACCCGAAACCAAAATATAGTTAAATATATACTAAGTGCTTTCACTAACGTAACTAGGAATATAAACCATAAATAAAAACTTTATTTTTTGTGCTATAAATTTCATTTTATTCACAAACACGTATTCAAATTTATATAAAAAATATAAAATACATCTATATATAAAAACATATCTATATACATTTACAAACAATCTATATTACATATTTTTTTAAAAATTGAACCCGCGGTATACCGCGGGTCAAAATCTAGTGTCATACAAAAACGAATAACTGACATTATAAAGTAGCAAATTAGGACTGAAAATAAAACAAAACAGGGGGGTGGGGGGGAAGCCATTCTAGGAACCTATTCGAGTTTTGGTTCTTCTTCTGAAATGGCCACATCTTCCGGCGAGATTCAAAACGCCGGAGACGGGTTTAAGGGAACGGTCAAACCGGCTAGAGGGTTTTTATTTTCAATCGTCTATAACCAGAAAGAGGAGTTTAAAGGACACCAAAACGATGTCGTTACACTCCTCGTCTCTGTGGGCTTTTTTGACAAAAGCCTTTTGTATCCACGCTGATGATTTACTGGGCTAAACCGAATAAACGAAGTTTGAAACCAAACCAGACAACCCAAAACTGTTTGTGATTGTGGTAACAACAAAATCTTTTCTCAATTTAATGAATCCAAGTGTTTGGTCCATGTTAGAGTATTTGATTAACCGGTTTCTAATAGTCCACAACAACAACAAAAAAACGGCGGGAGTTTTAAACTGAAAACTCTCGGGTGACGGTGGAGGTCATGGAAAGACTTTCCCCGCCACGTTGTGTTAGACTCCGAAGCCATCATCAAGCACTCTGTTTTGTAGGTATTTCAAGACCTCTGTTGATCCAGTATTCGTAAGACGTACGTACTGATGACCGATAATATTGAGTATTGACCATAAATTAGTAATAAAGTTTCAAACTGAGTGGACGAGGTTAGGCAACTTCGCAGGAAAGGCTACTTGGAGCTTACCAAGTTACACAGGGTCCATGCAGTGATTTACGTTACGTACTTGTTTAACTAAACCCTCATATATATGGTCTTTCTTTTTATTTGATCATTTCTTACTTCTAGAATTCTTCTTATCAGCATTTTTAAACAACCACGCACGTTTAAAATGAATTTGTATTTATATATATATATATATATAGTGTACATATAAACATATTATTATTGAATTATACATGTATATAAAAATTAGGCTATGTTTTGAATTGTACATCTTTTGATTTTGTCAAAATATAGCATAATATTTTATGAAAAAATATTTATATTCAAGCTACATATCGCGGACTCGAGAAAATGGAACTTAATTTTAGAATATATATTTTGGACAACTATTTAGAAACATTTAATCCATGATTAATGATAATTTGGAAACTCTTTCTATAATATATTTTTTTTTTTTTTGAGGAAGATATGAGCATGTGTAAATATTGTGACGTCAGCTGTTATGTCTTTTTATGAAAGACTAGTAAAATGAGCTATCCAAGTTGCAAAGAAGATGGACCAACATTTTGGACCTTTTTGGTCCTCACCTCTACAAGTATCATCAATCAGACGCTTGCAATTGCGATTAGGTCCATGTACAACCAAAACATATAAATATGCATGCATATGTTACCTTTTAATTATCTCGTTAGTGACTTAGTGGACAATCATTAATCAAGAAATTAGTCACGACTGACCGGAGAGTATAAAGCGTATTTCTTACAAATGTACCTTACAAGTACAAATTCCAGATTTCATCGAGAAAAAGAAAAGGTGCATTCATCATGGTTAATAAAAAGAGGTATGGGAGAAATAAGTAATTTCCTTGAAGCATGCACCGTTGGTCTCCCGTAATTAACGTAAAGTAGCCAACAAAACCAAAAGAAAGAAAGAAAAAAGAGAGACAATGATTGAATCTTGATTAATCGCAAATCACCCACCCATTAAGCTTAGAATCAGTACGTATTATATCAAATCAAATTAAAGCACTGATGTATGTATATATGGTCCACAAGAAGAAGAGTAGAAGAGTTGTACCGCATGATGTTGTCAAGTTGAATATTGCTTACAGAGTCGTGTTTTTTTCAACCTAGAATCCATTTCCTCAAAAGTTTGCACTTTTTCACTAATTGTTTTTTTGTTAGTCAATAACTTTATTCTTAAAAATCTTCAACGTTGGCATATAAAAAAATAAAAAGTTTTAATTAGAAAAAGGCGATTATAAAATTCATTTCTCTTTGAAATAAACAGGGATCTTGTACTTAAGCATATATTTAGATGTATCTTGTTGAATAGTAGTACAATTTAACAGAATTCGAAATAACAATTTTTAAAAGACATCAATAGATAGATGGTTTAAAATAGTTAGGCTTGTACGTAAAATCAAGTATTATCGTCCTAGTCAAAGGGTTTGTCCATTGATGAAATAAAAGAAATGGACCAGCTTTTCCACGTATCAATATACAAATCAATAATAAATAATGTACCACACCCATTTGCACATGTTCGCCAACCCCATCATTTAAAAGCCACCAGCGCCGAGTTGTGTTGCTTGTCTCACTGCCCTCATTTCAAGGTTCCCAAAAAAAGCTTTATCCGTTTCTTGTTTTGTTGTGGGCAGAGTATACCTAGCTAGAGAGATTCACTAGATATGGGTAACAGTTTAGGGAGCAAGAAGAAAACGACCAAAGTCATGAAAATAGACGGCGAGACTTTTAAGCTGAAAAATCCGGTGACGGCCGAGGAGGTCTTGAAAGATTTCCCCGGCCACGTTGTGTTAGACTCTGAATCCGTCAAGCACTACGGTGCCCGAGCCAAACCACTCGAGGTTTGTTCTTTTTATGTTTCTTGTTTACTTATACACGAACCATATGTATATGTTTTTATCGATGGACAAGGAACTGAGGCGTTTAGTGTTGTTTTTGTGTGCAGGCGAAGCAGAGGTTAGAGGCGAAGCGGCTATATTTCGTGGTGGAGCCTGTTAAAGAGTGTCCTCCGAGAAGGGTAAGATCAGGAATCCACGTGAGTGCGAAGGAGAGGCTTGAGAGCCTCATGCTTGCCCGGAGATCCTCTTCCGATCTCTCCATACTCAAACCAGCAGGAGGATGGACGGAGGAAGAAGGAGGTGCGGTTAGGGTGAAGGTGAGGGTTCCCAAGGCCGAGCTTGAAAGACTCATTAAGGAAGGAGCCACGGAGGCCGAAGCCACCCAAAAGATAGCTGCCCTCTTTATGGCCAAACAGAACCACCAAGAACCGCCTCACAACACGCGAGGAGAAGCCTTAGACCCCTCGCCCGCCGCCACGAGAGAAGTCAAATCTCGTCTGGTGAGTTCTTTTAATTTCTCCATTAATTTCTTTTGTTTTTTTTTTCTGTTCTTATATATGTAGTCAAATAAAAAACACAAACAAATACTATTATTTAGTTAATTCACAGCTTAGAGTGGCATGTAGCTTGTGTTGAATTTAATAATGTTATGGGTTAAAAAAAATAACACTTTTAATCGGAAAAATCGGAAGTAGATCCAGAGAAGTATTTGTTGGGGTCAAATTTTGCATGCTGCTACTTTTAACACTTTTTCTATACTGTTGTTACTTTCCAGATAGGACAAGATTATCACACTAATTTAGATATTAACTTTTTTGAAAAGTCATGTAAATAAAGTCTTGAAGACAAGAATGTTGATTAAACATATTCTAATGTTTGCAGAAACGAGTGAGTTTCGTGGCGGAAAGAGGAGGGAGCGAGATCACCGTCGCTTGAGTTGAACCAATACTTAGATGATGTTGTTTGTAGACGTACGTACGTACGTATTAGAGTGCTTCCCAACGTTTCTTGCAAATTCTATGTACATTAAACAACGCAAAACACGTTTGAGAGAAAGCTATTCATTCATCCATGTCTCCACTATACGAATTCGGAGTTTATTTATTATTATAGAAACAGTAATTTATAGGCAGATTCATTTGTTTGTCTCTCACCACCTTATTTAGTGATTACATGTTTAATTGTTTTTCCCGGAAGTTAAAAAAAAATTACGAGGAAGAGAGACAGATGCTCTTTATGCTCGTTTTGTCCTTCTTCCCACCTCAAGAGCCAACTCTGTATCGATCTTCAGAGATATGTCTAACGCTTTCACCGAATGCGTCAGAGCTCCGCTGCATTCATATATTCTTTTCAGTTTTCATCTGACCCAATAACAAATAGACGTATATCAAACCGGTTTGAAAGAATTCTTACCTGCTAATGAATGTAACTCCACTCTGTCCGATCTTGTGTACTGTCTCAAGGGTAACATTTCCTGAGGCCTGCATTATGAAATTAGAGTAAAGTCTTCCATCAGTAAATGTGGGGATCATCTTTTTTTTCTACAACACACACACACCTCTGTCTCGAATCTCCCGTTGATTAGCTCTACCGCATCTTTAAGCATTGTGACATCGACGTCTCCATTCTCTAGTGGTACCACCATATTATCCAGCATTATTCTCGTCAACCGAGTCTCGGATCCACTAACATACCCTAGCACTTCCTTCACTTCCTCAAGCGTCCGCGTCTCCACCTTCAAGTAGAGACATAGCTAAACGATTTAAAACATGTTTCACTTCTAACTTGCAGCCACAAAAGGGTCTCAAAGGTTACTTACCTCTACATCCATTTCGAGATTCTTTTGCTTTAGATATTCGTCCACTGATTTGATGGCATTTACTATACCTCCTGCAGCTGAGATATGGTTATCTTTTATCATCACCATGTCAAACAATCCCATCCTATGGTTCCTCCCTCCACCAATCAGAACCTAAGCTAAGTAAGAAAACTTGAGGTGTATCAAGAGATAATAATCTCATAAATCCAAATGTTCCCAAGAAGATATCAAAATAGCAGCAAATATGTCTCAATGGTTGGGTTTGAAATAGGTAAAAAAATTGTGGAACATACCGCCCATTTATCCACCAACCGCAAACCAGGAGCAGTTTTCCTTGTCTCCAGTATACGTGCAGGGTTTGCAGCATCTGCCATTAACTGCACTAGACAAACTCTCCATCACAAAGAGAATAGAACCTCCATTTGAATTACAAACAGACAATCAGCAATTCGATGGACACAATTCACTACTAACACTGCACTACATACAGTACAGAACCAAAGATTGCGTGGATATCGATAAATTACCATAAACCGTTTAGTAAGCCAATACAGCCTTCTCATTAAGATAAAAAGATCAAGAAGTTAACATGAATGCAACCACACAAATCACTAGACAATAAAGCCATTTTTAGTAAGCCAATAAAGCCTTCTGATTAAAATAAAGATCACCTAAGATTATATGAATGCAACCACACAAGTCACTAGACAATAAAATCATTTTTAGTAAGCCAATAAAGCCTTCTCATTAAGATATAAGATCACCTAAGTAGATACGGATGAAACCAAACCAATCACTAGACAATAGTTTGAGAATCTATAGAGATACCAAAAAAAAAAAAAAAAAAAACCTTGGTAAGGGTAGCAATTCCGCTCATCCTCTGCATAAAGTTGAGGACAACTCTTTCAGCAACAACAATCTTATGTGCATTCCCTGACACTTTCCCAAACTTCAATCCTTTATGAACATAATCTCCGTCCTTTCGCATCCATTCAACCTGACATTCAACACTAATCACTTAACCAAAAGACACATACAAACAATCAAATCCCTTCCCCGAAATGACTGCCAAGTATTCAGATTTATAAAGTAAAGATAGGAACCTTCAAAGAGGGATCGACTTGTTCAAAAATCATGTCAGCAAGAGCAATTCCAGCAACAATACCATCTTCCTTGGCCAAGAAATAAGCTTCCACTTCCATATCAAACGGTATGGTAGCCAAACACGTCACATCTCCTTCACTCAAAATCATCAATTTCACGAATTCAATTTCACAAAATGTAAATAAAAATGGCAACTTTACTTACTTTGAGAGCGAAACAAGTGAAGAGAGAGAGAGAGAGAGAGAGAACCTGTATGACCAGCATCTTCAGCTAGGGCTAATTTGATAACAGCTTTCAAATCGTAAGTAGGATGTGAAGGAGGCTTGATTGCCATGGAACCGCGCGAAACTCCTCCGGCTGTTTGAGTCGCAGAAGCAGACATTTTCACAAAGCTCCTGAAACAATCGGATTAGAGAAATGAATGGAAACGAAAAAGATTGGGTTTTTTTGTTTTTTGGTTTGCCGGATAAAACCTTTGGATAGCGTAGAATTGAGGCGACAACAGCCGAGAGGCAGAGATCATTGTAGAGACTTTCTTCTTTACTGACTCAACTCTGTTTCTTTGTTGTTGGTCTTCTTCTGTGAATATTATAAGAAACAGGTCTGTCCTCCAAAACAAAAGAGAGATGTTTGGTTGAACCAAGAAACTATCTATTGGGCTTTATATGTCTCCAAAGAAGCCCATTACAAGGATGAGATCCAACTTCTTTGTTTGGTTAATTCCATAAAACTCTCAAGTCTCTCTCTTCTCTCAACCAAACAAGTTGAAAAATTGTTGAGTTTCACTAAAAAGAATACGACAATTTTGTAATCTTATTACATTAAACGTCGTTCTACTATAAAATATCTTTAAACAACTTGACTGCTTCAAAAACAAAACAAAACAAAATATATATAGAAAATAATGTATGACATAAAATATACAAGTCTAGGTATACATATAAACATGTCTGCAAAATTTTTAATAAAATAAAGAAATGATTCTAAATAGGCTGCTAGAGTGAAGAATGCACACAACAAAAAATTCAACATAAAAACATAACAAGTACATCAACACAAATTGCATGTAACAAGTCAAAATAATAATTAAGCCAAAGAGTTAGAAGAAGCTGCCTCCCTCTTTCGTTCAAACAACATTCAAATAACAATATTGTCTCTCTCCCTTCTCCATTGTATCTATATATATATTTCCTCCATCAAAGCAGCTTTCATATATCTCTCAAGTCTTATCTTCTTAATCTATATAGCTCAAAAAAGATCCACGCTAGCTATTAGATAATTCAAACGTTTCCTTATAATTAACCACTAACCCATTCATTCAATTAATTTAGTCTTACTCCAGACGTCACAACTCAAGAGCGAGTTTTTGCATTATAACATGATGAAGAGGAGGATCATGGGGAAATTCATCATAGTGATGTATTTTGTTATAGCTTTCGTTGGATCAAGAGGAACAACAGCAGCAACGGCAAGGCTGATGAAGAAGGAAGATATAGGAAGAAGGTTTGCTTTGGAGAATAAGCTCCAACGAGGTCCGGTCCCTCCTTCACAGCCTTCTCTATGCCACCACAAACTAAACCCTTTTTCTCGTTCAAAATTTTATTACTCTTATGTTTCTTGCCCTTGATCAACCCACATTTTTTTATTCTTTCTTTTCTTATTTTTTTGTCTGTCTTTTCTCATACATAAGTTTAATCCTACGATGGACTCCTCCAAATTCGAAAGAGTCGGACGTGTAATATGTTTTGGACATAAATGAAACAAATTTTTTTGTGTTATAGAAATTTTTATAGAATTCTTTGGCTTCGCTAATTTCTGCCTTTTTCAAGTCTTCTTATCGTAGCCTTGTTTTATTATTTTTTTTGTTGCCAAGATTACTTTTGTTTGAGGTTTAAGCTTTCATTATAATGCCTAAACTTTCATTTTAACGATATGCCAAGATTACTTTCATTTACAAACTTAGCAAAAACAAAAGAAAAAAACTAGTGCCAATTATTTATTTATTGTAGCATTGCAAATTAACACGAGAAGATAAAAGTAGGAAAGTAACAAAGGAGCTTAGTCAAAGTAAATTATAAATTTTAATTTTGGTTAAAGACTTGCTTGGAATTGTTTAAAAAATTACTCGAATTATGGATCTTCTTCATTTCTTTTGTGTATTGGATTGGACTTCAACGGTTTGGAATAAGTAAGATATTCCAAGACTAAAGCTATGATGCACTAATTGGTTACTTACTCTGAGTATGTGAAGTAAACGAAGGCCCGTACGCTTTCATGGGAAGTAGACGTTAATCCATAAACGCACCTTACGATGCTCAATTGGAACATGTGTTCCTTCCTCCATCAGTCCATCTCACGAGAATTCTGGCAAGCTTCTTCCACTTCCATCCTTCGATGCTACTAGTGAATCATTGCAAGCAAACCTTCAGTGGTTCAAACATTTTTGGAAGTAACCACACTAACTAAGTGTGGGGCTTGGTAAGCAACAGATTTTAAAGTGTTTGGAGAGAGAGAGAGAAATTCCAGAATTCACACTTCCTCAAGACTCTCTCCACTTCCTATCAATAAGTAGATTTATCTCTTTTTATCAGTTTTCACATTGTTCCCATTTTAAAGATCTTCTAATGATATTCTAAATATTTTGAATTTAAGGTCTGGCCACATTAATTCCCTCTTGTTTGAAAACAATTTTAAGTTGTAGCTAGGTTTTTTTGTTTTGGACAAGAAGTTTTAGCTAAGTTTGGTTCAATCTATTTCTTATTTTGTAAGGCCATTCAAAACATTGTTCATTTTGGTTTAACGAAAACACTTTAGCAAAAATTCATAAACTACATCTTCATTAGCTTATTAAACATGCTACAATAAAAAAAAAAAAAAAAAACAGAATTTCACTAAAAACATTTTTAGTAGATACCGGTTTGATCAGAAAACAAAGTTCCATGCCGTTTTGGTTCAGATACACTGCAAGGTTGGAATACTGCACATAGAAATGGTTATCTCCAGGACACACTTGCGAATTGCCGTAGATTCTTCTCCATAGCCAATTTCATGCGGTTCTCTACCATCTTCCGCAACCATCTAATCCACTTCTCCAATCGCCAGAGCTCCGTCAAGCTGCTTCACTCTCTTCCGCGACCCCCAAGGCCTAGAAACCCATCCAAGTCCAAGCGATTCGTCCAAAAACCAAAACTTGCAAAAACAGAGAGCCCAGACGACCCCAGGGTTTACACAAGAGACATTGTATCCAACATCTACAACATCCTCAAGTACTCCACCTGGGAATCTGCTCGAGAACAGCTCCCTCATCTCCGTGTCCGATGGGATTCTCACATTATCAACCGTGTCTTGAAAGCACACCCTCCGATGCAGAAAGCTTGGCTCTTTTTCAACTGGGCTTCTCAAATCAAGGGTTTTAAACACGATCACTTCACTTACACCACCATGCTCGATATCTTCGGTGAGGCCGGTCGGATCCAGTCCATGTACTCTGTCTTCCATCTTATGAAGGAGAAAGGTGTGTTGATCGATACGGTGACTTATACATCGCTCATCCACTGGGTTTCAAGTTCCGGCGATATCGACGGAGCAATGAGGTTGTGGGAGGAGATGAGAGATAAAGGATGCGAACCTACTGTCGTGTCGTACACGGCTTACATGAAGATACTCTTCGCCGATGGGAGGGTGGAGGAAGCTACGGAGGTTTATAAGGACATGTTACGTTCACGAGTTTCTCCCAATTGTTACACCTACACTGTATTGATGGAGTATCTTGTCGGCACAGGTCAGCTTCATTCTCCGCACACCAACTGTTTGTTAAAATGCCTAGCTGAAAGTTGCAATTTTTTGCGTTATATTAGATGATTGGAAATAAACATATGGACTAAGACTAATAAATTTATTTTGTTGTGTTGACGATATTTTATTGGAAATAAACATGTGTTAGTTTCTTCGTTTGATTTGCAGGTAAATGCGAGGAAGCCTTGGATATTTTCTTTAAAATGCAAGAGATTGGGGTGCAACCAGATAAAGCAGCTTGCAATATTCTGATTGGAAAAGCCTGTAAATTTGGGGAAACATCATTCATGGCTCGAGTTCTTCTATACATGAAACAGAACGGGATTGTCCTTCGTTACCCTATCTTTCTTGAAGCTTCTGAGACTCTGAAAGCCGCAGGTGAAAGTGATGATCTGTTACGGGAAGTCAACTTGCATATTTCCGCTGAACTTTTGTGCTCCAGTGACATTGATGAGACTCCAACAGCCGAAGTTGATGACACTAAGAGTTCAGATGATAGTAGAGTTATCAGCTCCGTTCTCTTGATGAAGCAGAATCTGGTTGCAGTTGATCTTATGCTTAACCAGATGAGAGAAAGGAAGATGAAGTTGGATTCTTTTGTGGTTTCAGCTATCATAGAAACAAACTGTGGCCGTTGTAGAACTGAGGGCGCTTCATTGGCTCTTGATTACAGCTCGAAAATGGGAATTCATCTCGAGAAGTCAGCATATCTTGCGTTAATTGGTCAATTTCTGAGAGTAAACGAACTTCCTAATGTGATTGAAGTGGTCAAGGAGATGCTGAAAGCCCAACACTCTCTTGGTGTGTACCAAGGGGCAATGTTGATCCACAGGCTCGGGTTTGAGAGAAGACCTCGCTTGGCCGCAGAAGTTTTTTACTTACTTCCGGATGATCAAAAGGGCGTAGCTGCTTACACTGCGCTGATGGGTGTTTATGTCTCAGCAGGGAGTCCAGAGAAAGCAATGAAGATACTGGAAGAGATGAGAGAGCGAGAGATAATGCCTTCACTGGGGACATACAATGTTCTATTGTCTGGTCTTGAGAAAACAAGTGATTTCCAGAGAGAAACAGCGTTGTTGAGGAAGGAGGAGAAGAGTCTTGTTGCTTCTGCACGTTTCCGGGAAAACGTTCATGTTGAAGACAAAATATGTGATCTTCTGTTTGCTACAAATCTGTAATTCTGTGCTTGCAGCAGGTGAATTCAACATGTACATGTTTAAACGAGGCCCATTAATGTGCAAATATGAGGCCTGCCTATACTGTTTAAAGCCCACCACCCATTATTTTTATTATTAATTAATTTGATTTTTCGTTTTATTGACATTTCTGATAGATTTGATTAGTGGTGGGTGCTACAGACGCCGGAGAAGAGAGATGGCGAGATCGTGCTCTATCTGGACGCCTGTTTTGATCTCACTTTCTCCGATGACCGGAGAATCACCTAAAATTTCCCGGCGCCGGGTGATTTTAGCCACAAGCGTAGGTTCTCATCAGGTTCGTACAGCAGTTTTCAAAAATCGAATTAGTTTTCTTTCCCCGGAGGCCGCTGAGTTTTAGGTTGAGCTATTAGAGAATAGAGATTGTTCGTCCCCAATAATTCAGCTGTTATATGCTTCCAACTTGTATTTCCTGTAAAAGTAACCCCTAAATCTCACGGAATCAGTAAACATAACGTTGAGGTTTTAGTTGGTTTATGCCATATGAATTGAGGACAACCAAAAGGCTTCAGACAATATTTTCATATGTTCATGATTGCTTGCTTCTGCTGTTTTCATGGTCAATAGTAGAAAGAAGAAGATTCGGTATTGATAAGTAGCATCAGTTTGTTAGTTAGTGCAGATTTCTGAAGTCAGTCTTGTTTGCCATTATTTTTGCAGCCTTTACTTACAGCAAACATTAAGGAACCGAAGAAGCTTCAAGCCCTTGATTCCAAAGACATTTCCAGAAGAAACACCATGTTGTATCTCACGGCTGGATTTCTTGGAGGGATCAACTTTTTCCAAGGTGAAGCCGCAGAAGCTCGAGTAGGGAGAAACGAGAACAGAAGGAAAGCATTGGAGAAGCTGCGGGCGAAAGCGAAAGAGTCAGAGCCCAACAAGTCAGGAAACCAAAAGATAGAGAAAGAGTTAGAGAGAGATGAAGTGTTTCCTTTACTTCCTCCACCTGCTGTGGTGGAAGCAAACTTGCTGCAATAAGCACTCTCTCTGTCTTTTGTTTACTCGTAGAGACACAATGTGAGAATCAAAAGCTTTTCATTTCCAACACCCAACCCAACGAGTAAATAACACTACATCCTGTTTTGTGCTATTGTTTCCTATTACAAAACGTGTTAATAAAAAACTGAAGATAAAAAAAAGTAGAAGGGTTAGGTGATCTTTTTGTCCATGTTAGTGATGAGCTTCTTCATCTGAAACCTCCAGATACAGAAGTAAGCGAAGCCAAACCCGATCAACACATACAACCAAATCTTATCTTCCCCGCCTTCCTTCTCCGACCAAACCTCTTCAATCCCAAACCATTCCCTCTCTCCTTGTCCTTTGTAACTTTTCATTATGCCTTCCATCACTCTCCCATACAAGACATATATCCTATCCCGCCCCGCCACAGTCACCGCTGTCGGAAAGCCTTCGACGTCGAGGTCAATTTCGTCATAAACCACTCCTTCACTCCAGCTGTCTTGGCTCTTGAGTAACCAGAGCTTCTTCTGCGACACCACCATGACCGTGCCGTCTCTCCTTCTCCTAGTCATCCCGTCTGCTGCAATCACATCTCTGTTCAGCAGCACCAGCCTCGCCGTGCCGGTATCTTCGTCCACTTTGAACATCTTCCCTGTGTTGCTCTGCACAACCAGGAGGTAGCCTTTGCTGATGTACACGATCCCGTTCAAGCCGCAATCGCGGAAAGTTTCGTCCGCGTCTGCCGCCACCGGCTGCGAATTGAACACCGGCGATCTGGAGAAGATGGAGGCAGCGCCGTCGCGATCGACTCTCCAGATGAAGTTTTTGGCTGAGTTGGTGACGTAAGCGTTGCCTTTGAAATCAACAGCCACGTCATTGGCGATATCGCGGGAGATGTCCTCGTCGTCTCCGGGAAGCGAGGGGAGAGCAGAGAGGAAGATACGGCGGCCTCCGCTGCGGAGATCGTAGGCGGCTAGGGCACTGAAGGGAAGGAGAGGCGGTGCGCAGTGGATGGCGGCAAGTAGACGGCGATTAGTAGAGTCAACGGCGAGACCGAGGATAGTAGCGTTCTCCGGTAGATCGGGATCGGAAATGAAGGTTTCGACGACTCCAGCGTCGGAGACGGAATGAATAGTGCGGCTGTGGAGGGAACCAACGAGAAAGTGCTGGTCCCTTGGATCCCAGGTTAATCCCTCCGGGTAGAGTCCCGGGGATCGGAAGTTGATAACGTGGCGCTTATCGGCGGAGGATAGAATCGGAAGTCCAAGAAGTAGGACGACGACGGCGAATAGAATTGGGAAGAAGAAGAACGATCTGCATCGAGTGGAAGGCGACGACGACGACATCAACATGTTCGCTTTCATCTGAGATACTTCCATCTTTTGACCAAATTTCATAAATCAATTCGATATATTCTAAGGAAACCAAGCCCATTTATCTACCAATGGGCCACATTTTTTATGTATTGGGCTCTTAGCAGACTTCTCTTCGCCTACCGTTTACTTTATACGACTATCAGGCCGAACAATGGGTTTATCTGGTACCCAAAATCATTTTTAAAATTCTGCTCCAATCAAACTCTTTTTCTAACTTTGAACGACATAAGAAGTTTCGTTCATTCAGTTAATATCATACTTTACTTGTGTTCCAATAACCACAACTGTCACTTTGTGCTTCACGTTTATCTCTACTCAGCAATGGTCGATTTCCAATAATTCCAACAATAAAAAAATAAAAATAGGTATATGGAAGGCCATCCCATTATTTGCAAGAACACTGAACACCATACAACCAATGTATTAGTCTGAATACCCAACATTTTGAAATCAGTGCCAGTTTAGGGATTAAACTCTAAGATAAATAGAGGTTTTGTCTAAATAAATTTCAAATTCTTTTTAATGTGCAGTAGCTAGCTAGAGTCATCAAAACTAACAAAAAAAAAAAAAAAAAATGTAAATCTCATATATTATTGCCATTGGATATGGCCACCACAGCAGAGGAGAGGGGGCAGACATTTTAGTTAGTTGGTGTTTTGTTGTTTGTATACACACGCATGGATTTTGTTATCCACAAGGACATTAAATTTTGATAGATACGTTGAGATGTGAATCTAAAATGCATGTTATGTAAATTTGGACCGTTGCAACTAAATGTAAAGGAGAACGAGAGAGAGACCCTACGATTAGACCATTGTTCGTGGTTCCTCATACATTGCCCATCTCCTTTCTCTCTCACCAACCCCATTACTTTCATTTCTTTTTCTTTTATTCGTTTTATTTTTTTATTTATAGATTTTGCTTTTTCTTTTATTTTTTTGTAAAAGTAGATTGTGCTTTTTCATTTTGTTTTGTATTTTTTTTTTTTTTAATTCAATCCAATTTATTCATAGCATTTTGGGTTCACAAAAGTCATCATATCATTAGAGCAAGGGCCAAACTTTCTATGCAAAAAGTGTTTTCCATGGTCTCTACTCTTCTAACCTGAAAACTTAATTTTGATTTATGTACTTGTATTTAAACACGGTTAAAACAAAATGAAAACACTTTCATCATGAATTTAGAGTAAGATTAATATGTATGTGGCAATTATTGATAAGTTATTTTCTGTGAGAGAGTGGGAAACATATTCGATTAGACTTAAAGGAAACTTGAGTTGAGTGTAGTATATATATAACAAAAATGTTGGTCCAGAATAAGCTAAAGTACATTTTATTACAGCCAAAATCTTTTCACACCATATTTATTTGTATTGGATTTCATGAGGTCCACATTGTGATTTGGGGCAAATACTTACTTGCCATTGCATGCAATTCATAATAAAAATTAGAAGAAAAAGATAACGAAGTAAAAGATGTGTTACTTCCAAAGTGGATGCGTAATATCGAAGCTGTTTAGTTTTGAGAGGATGAAAAATCTTTCCTCTCGTGAGATTACCGATAATATGTTCGTGGGAATATATATGATATAAACTCAAATATATATATTTTGACTGTTGATTAGTTCCACAAAAGAAATATATATAAGCTTATAGGTAAGAGGAGTGATATAATCGAAATGCGAATAAAAGTGTGGTCCATCGTCCATGTTGTTATAATACAATACTTTTGATGCTCGAATTTTTATGTTTGAGAAGTCACACGTGGGGTGGGAACCTTTTTTCCCCTTACTAAAATTTTAGAATATTTTAATATTCCGAAACAAAAGAAGAATGAATTACACAGAAATTATGAGAAAATAAAAATATTGAGGGCATGCATGCATGTGTGTAGTGTAAAACGAAAAGGGTAAACTCTTGTCGTGGAGTAAAAACAATATATATGCATCGTCGCTTTTGGGCAAATGTTGTCTAGATTTTGCATTCATTGAATTTTCTCTATATCCATCCATCCACATCCACCACTTACGAGTCTCGATCCCATTTGTTTCCCTATATTTTGCTTTGTTTTCTCTATATACGTACGTAGTGTATGTGTGTATACACTTTGATGCCTTCTTAACAGAATACTTACTCTCGACTAGTAGTATACTCCATCCCAAACAATATTCATAAGCTAGAGTTTTACTAGCTACTCTTGTATCATCGTCTACAAACTCACTCGGGCACATCATAGATTTTTGAATCAAAAGTATGGTATCATTGTCGGACAAACCACTAAACCACTGGAATGATAAGATTCAGTTAAGAAAAAGGTGCATATATACACATCATACGGCTGTATAATAATGTTTTACATATGCTTAGCCAAAATCTACACATTAAAATTAACATAAAACAGAAAAGCAAAAAAAAAAAAAAAGGTAGATGAAGAGTTGATTTTTTTTTTTTTTTTTTTTTTTGGCGTCTAACGGAGACAAGATCCTTAATCCATTCAAATCTTGTTCACTAAATCCTAAGTACTTTTTGTTGTGTTCCACAAATATTGGAACCAAAAACCAAAGAGGGCATATATATCTTCTTCTTGACCTTTCCACTCTTTCCCACAAGATTAAAGGCTTTCTTTATTTCCGTGGTGGTTAACCGAGAAATGAAGAAGAACCCAATCTCCGAGGCGCTCTCAAAAGCCAGTTGAAGAAACTGAAGGGACCAATTCAGAGGCCAAGAAGAATATAGTAGACCAGTGTTATGGGTAACGCTATTAACATTCCAAATATTACCCTGCATCCATTTTCACCAACAACATATATTTAGTGTTAATCAGGATACTACTACTTGAGCTTGACCCAATAAACATATAACAATGTTGCAAGTTTGGAACTTACGCAGTGCTGAGGATCGTGGGATGCACATTGTACTCTTTTGCAAACACAAAGGGAACTATTCCTTGAGGCAACGCAGCCTATATTTATAAACCCATGCACTCAACATCATCATCATCTTGTAATAATATAGTTACAGACCTATTATAAATCATATGTAAAAACAAAAGTACAAATTTGTATACCTGAACGATGGCTATACGGAGAAGGTCGCCGTGTAACCCAATGACAATCCCAGCAACAGCCATGATGGCCGGACCGGTTATAAATCTGACTGCCATGGCAAACGTGGCGACCGAGTTCCCACAAGCAATGATTTTTGGTTGAAGTGCCATGAATAGACCTTAAAGTTTCACCGAAAAAAGAAAAGAAAAATTAATTAAACAAGGGATTTGAGAAATTGACCAGCAAGAGTTAGGTCAGCTACTTGGTGAGACCCCAAATAAGTACACACAGCTAGCCAGTGGGGAGGGGGGGACCGGACCTACCGACATGTCTGCTGGGTCATAGAGGGTCCGGATCCTCTCTCTCTCTCTCTTTTGGTAAGTGCTTTGTACAGTGTCCATATATGACTTTTACCAATTACAAGCTGGACAACTACGACTAATTTAAACACACCCCCAGACCCCACCCTTTTGCATTAAATGAGTCTTTAACAGATATGATGAGAACAAAATTTGGACCCAACATTATCATTCTATCTTTTAATTAGTCATTAGATCATCATCAAAGACAAGTCTTGAGATGAAGAGGAAGCAAGGTTACTAGTGTTTGAATCATACATACCTAAGCTGAACATAGCCATTCCAAGACCAGCATCTGAGAGTATGGAGATGGACTGTTGTAATATTTTGGGCATAGCCACATGCCACCTGCTTCCAAAATAATCCCATTACTCCATTATTAGTATTAAGTTTCCATTACAAAATTATATTCCTCTGCATAGGCCATAGCTTATGATTATGTTATTTCCTCTTATAAATTCAAATAATCATATATTATCCACATAACCAACCAGTAAGTAAGAAAATGATGATTGGAGTGAGACTGAGACTGAGACTGACCGGTAAGCAACAAGAGCCCAGATGAGACCGATGAGACTTGAGTATGTGTTTGGGTTTCTGATGAGTTTTCTCCACACCATTATCAGAATCAGTCTCGTCACCACACTTGCCGGCGGCATATGTGTTCCCATGCCGCCTCCGCCTCCCCCAGCCGCCTCTAGCTCCGCCGTGGAATTAGACTTTACTTTGTTTAGCCCTGCCGTAGCTTTCTCTATCTCTCTTTCACCCTCTCCAACATCGCCACCGCCGATATCACCACCTGACAAAAACACACCAAAATTAGGATTAATATAAATTTGATTAAATAATACATGTAGAGTAAATTAAAGCAAACCTCTAACGGCATCACTCTTTCGAGGTTGATCAGAGACGACCATCCGGATCTCCTTGGCGCCTTGCTCAGATTGCTCCGTGGCGACGTGTTCACCTCCGCCTCCACCGAAGACGTCGGAAACAGGGGAAGCGCTAGAGCTCCAAACAAACATGTGAAGCTCCTTAGCGTCATGGCTCGCTTTGTTGCTATTGTCCTTATCTTGCTGTTGGTTTTCTTTAGGGATTTTATTCGGTTTAGTTGGAACAGCCGTATTCCCGGATGAGAACTCCGGGTTCGGAGCCGGGTACGAACCCGCCGTCGCCGGGTTAGGGTAGAATCCGTATCTGACGGCGTTGTTCTCCTCGAAATTGGAAGGCCGTGGAGTCGGACCACGAGAAGAAGATTGAACGGAGTAGAGATCGGCCGGACCAAAATTAGAAAGCCTCCCGCCGGGAAAGCCCATGACGGAGTAAAAATCGGAGTGATTGAAATTGGAGCCTCTGGGAGTGGAACTGAGGCTGTAGATCTCAGCTCCGGTGAGATTGGAAGGGCGTGGAGTCATCATCAGTGACCTCCTGGAGGCGTTGGATTTCCTGACGGTGACGTGGAGCTTGCCGTCGTTTCCGATCTCAGCATCGGTCTCGAGGAAATCATGGCCGTCGAGGGAAACGACGTCGGACTCGACCTTGAAGGAGACGATGGAGGCGGCAGTCTCAGGGAACTGCTCCATGATGAGAAGCTTAGCGCCACGGTACTCGAAGAGGAAGAGGAGGAGAGTGTACCAGATGATACACTGAAGAACGACGACCTGGACCATGAGAGAGCCGGCGTAAGAGCCGTACATGGCGATCAAGAGAGGGATCCCCATGACGAGAGTGTTGGGGAGAGTGCTGAGGGAGAAGATGGTGATCATCCACTCCAAGCTACCGTTCTTGGTGAGGTTGGCCCAGAGAGCAAGGAGGAAGAGCATGATGATCTTCTGAAGGGTGTCGGCGGCGATGAAGCGGAGGTTCATGGCGTAAGGGTCGTTGGTGGAGATGAAGTGGAAGGAGAGGAGAGGGACGGCGAAGATGGCGACGAAGCGATTGATGCCGGAGCACTGGTCAGGGGAGAAGATCTTCCACCACTGCACGGATCCGTAGGCGAGGATCATGGCGACGTAGAGCGGCACAACCGCGGTGAGGACGGTGTACAAGTCGTGCCACGTAATCATCTTTTACTTCTGTGTGGGGATTAAAAAAAGACTTTGCTGGCTTTTAGTTAGTAGTGAGAAGAAGAGAGAGTAGTGGCATTAGAGGGGGAAACTAGAAGAGAGGAGAGGGGCAAAATGGGAAGAATAAAGAAACCGTTAGGGGGGATTTGGGAGAGGGGGCCTTTTAATTGACTCAATATCATCATCATCATCACTCTTTATATACTAGTCCAGTAGAGAGTCATACAGTAGTGACAGTGTCATCATCACTCATCAGTCATCTGCACACGATTACGTTTTCTAAAAGTTAATTAATTAAGGGAATAATTTAATTTTTATGTGTGTTGTAGTTGAGTGGGGACACGTGGCGAATGGCATATGGGGCAGTTTCTGGCGGGACGTGGACTGTTTTTATCATGGAATATTTTAGTAATAGTCAGTCAGTCTCTCGTGTGCTGCGTTTTGCTCCTAACATAAAGCAGTCAAGTTTTTGCACTTCGTTTTTGAAGTTGCCTAAAAAAATAAGTACTTTTACTATTTTTTTTTCAGGGACTTGACAGAAAGAAAAAGGAAAAAAGAAGTTGTATTAATAAAGGAATAATTCGAATTACTGTATCTGTAATCATTTTCAGTTGTAGGATGTAATTTGTATTTCGTCCGACTCCAACCAAATACATTAAAAAAAGGGGGGTTTGTCTTTGTTGATGATACAGGGCAGCAAAAAAAAAAAAACGTCATTAGTGTTAGGTCCAAAGCACTGCTGGACCGTTGAATTTAATAATACCAACACATTTATTCTGTTTTCAAAAACGTATCTCACTTTGCTATTCCTATAACTATAATAATTTCTTCTTGTTTTTGTTTACAAGACAATTTGGGTTTTATAAAGGTTTCCGGAAGAAATTAAGTCCCAATTTAGCTTTTAGTATTGAAAATAGTTACGATCAGCTTCACTATATATACAACTAACTCCCAAAGAAGGCACGTCCAACTTGTTTCTGAGCTTCTCGCCAGTCTTGCTTATTAGTGTTATTCGTGGTGGTCGTAATTGTTCTCATATTATCTATGGTTCTGACATTCAGACAACGTACCTACCTACAAACTCGGATCTTGGCTACTAAGACTACAATCGCCATAACACTGACAGGGTTTAGGTGCCAAGCGGACCTGCACCAAAAAATATATATACTTCAATTCAACTTCCATCACGGCCAACTTAACTAATGGCATCCAAATGATTTGGTAATAACAAATTTAGTTTTGTTTCTCTCCACAGTATTTATACTTAATTGTGATCACTGTTACAATAATTATTGTTTGGTTACCTAATTAACCTTCAAAATATTGTCACTCACAATTTTACTATTTTATATATGCTAATTATAATGTGTCGCAGCCTAATGACCTTGTAACAGTCATACTTCGCCCTCTACCAAAACTTGTGATTTAATTTAGATTATCTTTGCTCAAATTCAAAGGATCTCACTGATTAAACACTAACACTGGTCATATCATTTTCCGTCCAAGATCAAATTATTATTATATAAGGCATCTCAATTATATCCAACCAAATTAGATATAGATACATTTTATATCCTTATTTTGTTTGTTCTAGATAGACGACGGATATAATGAGAAGTAAAAATAAAATAAAAATATAGATAGACGACGGATATAGTTTGACCTAATACTATTTGGTATATATACGACCCAATCAATAATCATTGGATTCAATAATCATGGGAGGCTGCAAATGGTTTTAGAGTGTAAGAAGATGATGAGTTATATATAACGTTAAGGACATACTATAATCTCTAACACACACCTAATCACATGCTGAAGACCGAAGAAACGAGAGCACGAGTCACATCACCATTAATCATTCTTTTTGTTCTTTACATTAACTACAAATAAAACTACCATTCAAATACATTTTTTTTTTATAGTATCAAGATTACGATTTTATAAATAATACAGTATTACTATAGAGCATTGGATAGAGAGTATCGAGTTTGGCGTACCTACAAGATCAATGCTCTTTTCGCTATGCTTAGAATATATTTAGTCACATGCATGTTCGTTCGTTGTAATTAATAATATATATCTCACTATTCACTATTTATCAGATTGTATGGTTAATGTGGTGGACACGAGATGACCTGTATTCTCTGGACCCATGAAAAAGATCACAGCGCTCTGATTATCTCAAAAGAGCTAAAGCATCCTTATTCCCAGCTTCACCACACGCACCACGCTGATGAGTATAGCTAACCAACGAGGAGCTAGCTAGGGGTCAAGGTGTCTTGACTCTTGATCAAGTCTGGTCATACAATTAGTACCATAATGATGTGGATGTCACGTGATACGCACGTGGTCCATTTCCCATACATGGCATTCCTACCTTGTGCCGGGTCGTCCCCGTTGCTACCAAACCCCAAGGCCTCCTCACAACAAAGTTTTTATTACTCAGTTCCCTATTTTCCTTTTTTTTTCTTTTCTTTATGTGGCTTTCCGGAGATTTTACTACATATATAATATGTTCCTAACTATAAGTGTGTCTCGTTAGCTTTTCGGAGTAGGTCTATACGTGAATAATGCTAAAACGAAATATATACGAAATTGGTTTGAGAAAATAAAAGAAGTTATTAGGTACGTAACTTTATAGATTACTAATCTTCCTCAAAGGAGGAAATAATAACAAAGTAAGGAGCAAAAGCCTTCAAAGCTAATATAGTTAATGTCAAATAGAAAGTACAAAAAAGAAGAAGATATGTAGTTGATAACTAGGGAGTTAAGAATGTGAGACAAACCGTGCCGTGCGGGGGAATCGGATACAAGCATAAATGTAGCCGGAGGTCGATTCGATTATGGAATTCCCAAGTAAACAACATTACATCCTGACATTGTAAGAAAAGATTAAGCTACACTACTTTGAATCTAAAGACTCACATTGTAGAAAAGAGATAACCGTTTGGGACGTGTTTAACTTCGATCCCAGTGGAAGACAGCGCTCGCAAGACCTGATATGGGGTGTGTTTAATAAGTCAAAACTAGTTGACTCATCAGATAAGAATGAATGGGAAACAAGCGTGCATTTTTTAACATGAACTAAAAACCGAACATAAAATTTCAAGAATGAACGCATGAATTTAAAATCTAATCGCAATTCCCAGCTGAGAATGAACAAATGATTTAACAGTTAAAAAAAGACATAGATAAACAGAACACATATAAGAATGATTTAAAACCAAACATAAACTTTAAGAAGTTAATTAACGTTTTGGCTAAACGCAGCTAAGAATCGAAATCAGTTAAATGCAGCTATGGATCGTTAATAAGCTAATGGTTTAAGATTGTTTTAAAATCGAACATAAAACTCTAATTACCCCTAATTAAAACTCCATTGTTGGTACCGTACGTCGCAAGCTAGTTTCTTCCTCGAACTATTTGACGACAGTACTGGTTTAATGCAAAATGGGGAAAACTAATTATTCGCTGTTATGTATTTAATCTAGAACGGGAAAAACTTCTCCAATCAAATTTCAGATGAGCGAGCAGAGAGATTGACCCACCGACCAAGGATTTTGGGTTTCTATTCAAAACTTTGCAGTTACATATAAACGGACTCGAAACTTTACGGCCCTATCTAAACGGCCTAAAGAATTTTCACACCAACCTTATGGGCCCAATTTCGCCTATTGTTTTTCCTTTGCTCGACATTTTCAGTTTTATTCGAAAAACACACAAAATCTAGTTATAGACCTAGGCAAAATAAAAATTATTTGGAAACTGGATCGAACCAAACTCAACTGAGTATGAGTCTATGAGATACCAAACCAAACCTAAGAATATAAAAAGATAATTCTAATATGTAAAAAGATAACACAAAGATAATTCTAATATGTGTAAAAGAATACGGAAGAAATTCAAAATTTATGTAAAGGAAACATAACAACCAAATCGTTTAAAGTGTTTTGAATCATACTGTATTTGTTTATATACTAATTTGTTTTAATTTCTGACTTCAAGCTTCAAATTAAGGATATTGGATTTCTAATTAAAAAATAATGAAATAATATTTACAAAGAGTTGTTGTGCAGCACAAAATCTCTAAGTAGTATATTTACACGAAATCATGTGAACAGCAATTTTGCTTTTGGGCTGAAGGGGTTGACTTTCGTTGACTTATAAACCATACTGATAACATAGATCAATCCTCACGCTCTTGCGGCGGAAACGTTTTCCTGGCTGGAACCGCCATGGAATTAGGTGGGGTGGCTGCAGTGGTGACACGCTCGCAGCGAGGGCACATGGTGAGGCTGGAGGCGGAGTTCACCGTTGGTGGACCGACCTTCATGGCTCTAAGCTCTTCTACTTCTCTATGGAGCCTGTGGTTTTGCTCCGTTAACGAACCAAACCACCTTTTTAGATACTCGCATTCCATCTCTGTTTGCTTCAATTTGCTCCTACTCCAAACAATTCCAAAGAAAGGACGAAGTTATTTATTTATGCATGTAAACATGCATTTTAGTTAACCTTGTTTTGTACAACTTGTTAATATATACACTAGTATGAGATATGACATCCGAACACGGATCAAATGCTTGTTGACGATGCAAAATATATTAAAAACAATTATGGAAAATAAAAACGCATGCATGAACTGCACAATGAATTATGAGTCAAAGGGCATTGATGTAGAAAAGTAAGCACACGAGGCAGAGAAAGAAAGAAAACACATTCATTGTCTGTCTTGGATTTTATATATTCAATCAAATTAAAACATTAAAAATTTAAAAGAGAAAGAGGCTATATATCAAATATACTTATGGAGTATTATAAAAAGGTTTGTGGTTAATTATGATTATAGTTATATTTTGGGAAACCGTCATAATAGTAATACGACCATTCTTGAAACTCTTCTCTTATATTTACTGCACCATATCTTTCCCATCTCTTCACACAATTATTGTGGGATGTATAAATAAATAAAGTATTGTTATTTGAGTAAAAAGAAAAAAGACATTCTAACCAATTTATAGATTTGTTTTTTTCGATTTGGGCAAAACAATGACTAACGAATTATAGAATGACTAGCTAGTAATATACGTTATACACATGAAACATGTAGATTGATGCAGAAACTATAGAACTATACGTTACACACAAAAAAAAAAAAATCCTAATAAACGACTAATGAGTGTATGAAACATTCACGAGACATCGACACGTGAATACATAGGTACTTGTATTAATGTATACACGTACTGACGTAAACGATCGAGCCAAAGTGTTTTTAAAAGACAAAACTTTGCTCCAAGTTGTTACATCGAATACACACATTTTATATATATAAAAACGTGTTAATGGATATCACAATTGGCGGCTCCAAAAAAAGATGCTGTTGTCACTCGTGAAAATAACCATGCAACAACACATATATATGTACGTGATGTTGATATATGCATAACTACTTCAACACTATATTACTATTTCGTTAATATGTGTGTTTAATTGAGTGGCTGGCTGTTAATTTCTTTCTGTAAATTTGTTTGACTTGAAAAACATTTTTGGTCAAATTAATTGACATTTTCCTCGTATATATATTATATATATTCCATGTAACAAGTGGAGAATTTTAAGAAGGACCTAGAAGGAAAGCATTATATATATAAAAAAAAAATGTGTTGATGGAGGAATGAGATAAATAATTTTCATGAAAAGGACAAGGTTAACTTTATTATTATTTAAGGGTACGACTTGTATATATATGTTAACGGGGTGGGTCGAATCCGATTCAGATTTCATTTTTTTTTTTTTTAGTTTCTGCTTTATATTTATATTCTGTCAACGTTTAACGCTTATATATATATATGGTGATCGAACTCTCTCTCGTTAATCATCAACCACCCGCTTATTATTTTAACCTTACATATTATATAGTCAGATATTTATTCATTCACCAATGATGTTAAAAAAAAAAAAAAAAAAAAAAAAATTAAAAGCGTACCTTGCTCTACGGTTTTGAAACCAAACTTCAATTTGTCTTGGCCGTAGCATCAAATGCTGAGCTAGTGCTTCCTTTTGTTTCTACATTTTTACCCCCAAACAAAAAAAATAATATAAAGAGAAAGAACGAAAGAAACATTCATAATTACAGTTCTTTTTTTTTTGTAATAAAAATAAGATAATGATAGAGAAACCGAAGTAGTTACGGGATTAAGGGTATGGTTCTGTCTGAAACTATCTTCAAGAAGACGAGACTGTTCTCTGGTTAGACGGAGCTTCTTCCGAGGAGGAGCAGAGCCATCATCGTGACTTAATTCCTCATCCTCTCCGTCTTCAGACGACGGCAAACGATTCATGTCTAGCTTTAGCTGTTCTCTCCCTCCTCCGCTTCCTTCATCTGAAATTTATTCATGTGTTGTTTATATATATCACCAACGACAAAACGGTATATATTATATCGTGGTCAAAGAGAAATTAATAACATCAGTTTTGAGAACTCATGAATTTTCCTTGTATAAACATATATATATCATCAACAAAAAGAAGAAACATAGAATCCGAACACAAGCCTTACATAGATATACTTATGCATATGTGTATATATATTGTATAGTTTCATGTGATCAAATATGAAAAGCAGGTTCTAGCTAGTGTTGATGTATATGGGTGTGTGAAGAAGCTAACCGGAGGGAGGGGAGGAAGAGAAGCCTGGAACGGAGATAGTAAGATCTAAATTAGAAGAGTTCTCCGGTAAAATCGCCATTTGATCCGAGTACTTTTGATTAGCTAGGGTTCTTAAGAGAAGAATTGATGAAGAGAGAAAAAGAAAAAAAAAATGGGTAAAGTTTGAGAGGAAAATTAAACTCTCAGTTTAATATAAAAGGTTAGGGGTGAGAGACAATAATAAACTTGAAGCGTGGCGATGCCTTTATATTTATACTATACGTTTTGTATAATTTACAAAGTTAACATACACGCACGAACGCATGCGTGATCCATATGGCATAGTACTATATGTGTATGCGTACGTATATCATTGTCATTATGCACGTAAATAGTAGTTTTATTTTATATATAAAAAAGGACCTAAAGACATATATAACCAGTGTAAGAAGATAAACAGTATTAAGATGCGTCGGGTTAAGGTATCTATCATCAACCTATGAAAATTTTCTATTTTATTTTAGTAGTAGTAGTTATTATACTAATATGAAAAATTAAAAGCTAAATAAATAGGAGTATTAGTAATAAATAAATAAAAATTAGAAGAAGAAAAAAAAGGGAGGAGTGTTGTTGACTGAACCGAAGGATTCACTAGTCAAAAGAAAATTAGAGATGAGAAAGAAGAGCCGTAGGATAAGTGACACGTGTCAAACAGTTGGATCCAATAGTTTGGAGTCATTAATACAAACGCTGACTGACTCCGTGTGGGAGACTAACCCGCAGGTTTTGTTTTTTAGTCAGGTTTTGTAACATTTTATTACTAGTTTAATTAAATTAATTACCAATTTAATTACTCTAGTATCTATTTTTAAGTTTGATTAGAAAAGATATATAAAAAGAAGATTCTCTCTTTATTCCGTAGGAACGTGAAGCTGAGTCGGTCCAAATATTATGAAAATGATTGAGAGAGATCAACTCTTCTTCTTCTTCTTCTTATTCTATACGTCTCCCACCAATTTCCATTACGATCATCTCTCATTACTACTTTTTGTTTCACTTTTTGTACATATATGTCGATGATGATGTTTTGTTTTTAAGAGAGAGAGAGAGATCGAGAGTTATGAATTATAAACTTGTGATAAATTATTGACATATAAACGCTTATTCAATACTGTAAATCATAATTACTACGTTAACTTGGGTTTGTTGAATCTGTGTACGGTTTAAGATACTAGTCATTCAAGACAACAGCATAAGACAATCTAATTGTCCATGGAAACATGTAACGTTAACGTATTATTTAGTCAATTTAAGGAGTATTATTATTTATCTCTATAAACTAGTATGTAGTAGTCTAAAACTAGTTATAGAAACCAGTTTTTCTTTTTGTATATGTAATTTTATTCCAACAATTCACACACACACACACACATTATAAAAAGTATGTGTAGAATTAACAATGCTACGTGTATACTTTGTTTTATTAAGATACTTATATAAAGATAACAATACTTGACCGGTCTAGCTACTAGACCTTTTGTGGCGCATTCTTGGTCATTTGCATGAGTCATATATATATTTTTTCTGATTTGCATATATAATTAATAAGCACTCGATTAGATCACACACACACACACACGTTCCTTTATTTAACTGACTGCTTAATTATTTGTTTGTGATCCACCATTAGATTACTATTATCCGAATTTCGTGATTATGACATACATATACTAGTATTATTTGCTCTGCTTTCATATATCCTATAAAAATAAAAAGTTGACAAAAGAAATACTATTGGTAATCATTTTCTCTTTTCTGCTTTGAGAAACACCATGAGTCCAATATATTCATTCTCCTGCTATCTCGCGAAACGCATGAAAAAACAATACTGCATGTTTCAATATTGTTCAATCATATTGACCAAATTAATTACAGCAAAGAAACTTATGTTTTCAAAGGTGCCTAAATTAATTGGTGCATGAGACCCAATAATATACGCATAATAGTATCTTTTCATACTAAATTGAAGACGATATATGTGAAAATTCAAACCCAAAATATTCTATATATTGATGAACATATTTGTGTATGCACTTTTGTGGAGTTATGTTGGTCAAATGGTAACCAAAAAAAATGTAGTTTAAATAAGATCAAGGACATTTATCAATCCGTCATAAATGTAGCGTTATCTAGTTTATATTTCCAAAATATATTGGTACTGACTATCATTGTTTTTTTCTTTTCTTTTCTTTTGAAGGGTAAAGACTGATTATATTTGTTGGTGCATGATGATGATGATGATGATGATGATGATGATGATGATTTGCGTTTTCAAAATGTTTAAGAAAGTTGTTATATCAGACCATATTTGTGTAGTCACTAGTCACCACCATACTCTTTGTGCGGTCGATCGCACACAACTACAATCATTGATTTGTCTACTTCTTTTATTGCAAAATAACTCTCTATCGTACATGATACATCAAATCAGTGTTTAAAAATATTGATAAATTAGTATGCCAATACCATAGTGACCACTCACTCTCTTTCAAGTTTTACAATTTGTGTTGGATTGTTAAAGCTTCAATTATTACTGTCATGGGAGGAGAGCATAGTAGGAGTATAAGATATTATATAGAAAAACGAAAAGAGGATCCCCAATTTGTACAAACAGCTTTTTGTAGCTTCCGATGAGCAAATCATTCGTCTAGGAACGTACACAGATTTATCTTCCGACATCACTATCTTCTAAAGTCAAAGAAACATAAAAAAAGAAGAAGTTTATGTCTTGTCTCTTAATCATTCTCTTCTACTCTTTGGATCCAAACCCTTGTGCCTGTTTCATCTCTACTTTTGCCACTCATAAGGTTTCAATTTTCTTCTTCAAGCCGAACATATTTGCACAGTTACAAAGGTTAAAAACAAAACACATTAATGCAACAGATTGAACAAAATAAAGGGAATGTTAAACTATTGTTATCAAAACACAAAAAGGATTGGAAAAAGCCGGCATAGTTATGTGTGACAACTTTTGGTCCTTGTAGTGTTCAAATTAAACATGAGAATTGTGTTATCATGATTGTCTTTTTTCAACCCCATGCTAGTTTTATCATATCAAAATATATTTTTGCCGACCGGCACCAATTATTATACCTACAATAGTAGCAGTACCCATACACAGACACCAAAAGAAGTATGTGAAGAGAACTAATTTTATATGGTTTCTACACTTGTCTTCTCTATCTCCAACCGATGATGATCTCGTATTATTGCCAAAAAAAATACAGATATGTATGTTGAATTCCCTCTAATTATAAACTGGATCCAGTTTAGATCTATTAGTAGAAGCAACAATGGAGTGATGCAAGTGTTTAGAATGATCCATACAAAGAGAAGAAGACGCAGAATGATACAGGGGAGAAGCAGCAGTGTCAATAAGATGAGAAACAAGTTGCCAACAGTTCAAGTTTCAATACGGAAGTGAAGGACAAAGGAGGAGACAAGGTGGTTAGTGGGTCCTATCCTTTGATGATTGGGTAGGAAACATTTGGTGGGCCACCACTTGTCTCTTTGTCCCTCTCCTCCCCCGTGAGATCTCCTCGATTGGTTTTGTTTGCTACTGTGTCCCTGTGGCCTGTGGGTCACTCACAACACCATTCCTAATTCCTATTACCACTTTCTTCTAATATTAACTTACACTCCACAAAACTCTCCAAATACAAACTTTGGTATGCATAAAGCCACCACTAATTTGTTACTTTTACAGATCCCATTTTAGTTCACGTCCTATTCAAAGGCATCAACTCCAAGTCAAGTATCCTTCCTTTTTTCACATGAATGGGTCTCTTGTTGTGCACAAAAGTTTACATGACATCAAAATATTTTGGATCCCCCCTCCCCGTCTAGGCTTAATCTAAATTTGACACCCAAAGACTATACTACTACTACAATATGTCATAGGCTTAATCTAAATTTGACACCCAAAGACTATACTACTACTACAATATGTCATAGTACCAAAATACCAAAAGGACATACCAAGTATGTACTATGTATGTACATATTGTGGCTTGTGTAAACTTTTAGTCGCCCAGAAGACAAAGTGGCTGTCTCATGCTAAGCTCAGCTTTCAGCGCTGGAAATTTCTCCAGGTCTTGAGAATCTCCTAGAACGTTCTGTGCAAACATGGTACCAAAATAATAATATAAATCCAGAGACATTGAAGTATATTATTTCACTGAAATGCAACTGGACAATGAATGCTTACCAAAGCGGCGATGTGGGCTTCCTGCAACATATTGCCGTCTACTTCTAGCCTAGCGACTGGGAACTCTGGTAGGTGCCCAGACTGTTTCTTCCCAAGCAAATCACCAGGTCCTCGTAGAAGAAGGTCTATATTTGCCAAGTAAAACCCATCTGATGATTTCCCCAACATTTTCAACCGTTTTAGGCTATTGGTAGTTGACCCAACTAATAAGCATTTCGATTTTCTGGTTCCACGCCCAACACGTCCTCGGAGCTGGTGTAACTGAGCTATTCCAAACCTTTCAGCATTCATGACAACCATCATTGATGCGTCTGGAACATCAACACCTATCTCTATCACCTGGGTGGAAAGAAGTATCTGTGTTTCTCCACTTCTGAATTTGTTCAGAGCCTCTTCTTTGTCTTCACTCTTCATCCTTCCGTGTAACAACCCGCAGTTGTACTTCGGAAATTTCTTGGTTATTATTTCGAGCTCAGCAGAGGCAGCACGGAGCTGTGGAAGTTGCTCTGATTGTTCAATAACAGGATACACAAGGTACACTCTCCCTCCAGACTTCAAGTCTTTCAGCATCATCTGTCAATGGAAAGATGTTAGGCTTAGACATCATCTACTGTTGAATTTTCAAAATCAAAAGCAACATATGTTTATATGATGAGCGTCAAGACAAAATTCTAGTTATTGTCATAGGCATTACCGAGTAGACTTCCTTGATGCCAGTCTCATTTCCCTCAAAAATGTGGGTCTCAACTGGTATTCTTCCAAGTGGCATACCAGTAATCTGAAGAAACAAAGAGTTGCACTCATTTAAAATGCTTATAGACGTTTAACGCATGGAAAAAGTGTGTTTCTATCTGCTGAATTAAAATGGAAAAGCTTTACATACTTGGGTCAAAGAAATATCTCCGTATAAAGCTAAGGCAAGTGATCTCGGGATAGGGGTAGCTGACATGGCAAGAACATGAGGAGCCATACTGAGATCAGCTTTAGATGTATCATCAGCGTCAGATGAGTCACTTTTTGATATCACAGATGTCCCATATAACTGCAAAAGTCAGGCCACAATACACTTCATGAATCATTACTATTATTTTTCATGATAGTTTAAGTAGAATGAACAATGCAATTATCCGATAGATAAAAATATTCTAGGAACCTGACCTTGCTGTTAAATTTTCCTCTCTGGATTACACCAAATCGTTGCTGCTCATCAACGACGGCAATACGTAATGCAGAGTACTCTATCTTTTCAGCTATTAGACTGTGAGTTCCAATTATAAACGATATAGCTCCACTTTGAAGATCCTGTCATCAGTTGTCAGTTATTAGGAACACAAACTTACTGTACGATTTAAAACGACATATTAACTGCATCACTTGCCTGGCGAATACTACGTGACTGCTTCGCCGGGGTTGAACCTGTCAGCAACCCAATGGTTGGCTTGGATGTTATTCCCTCCATATTCTCCAACAGATCACGGCACTGTTCATAATGCTGGATGGCAAGTAATTCTGTCGGGGCCATGAAAGCTGCCTACATATGAGAAAATAGAATTCAAATAACAAATTCAACTACATGCAAGGAACGAGTCAATGACGGATATCAGAAGATTTATTGAAAAATTGACTACACATAACATAGTGAAATATCAGAAGGTTGTAAAGAGATTTAATCAACAAACCTGGTAACCAGATCCTATGACCTCCATGCACGCCAAGAAAGCCACAACTGTTTTGCCACATCCAACATCACCCTAAAAGATAAAGATAAAAAAATTGTGGCAACAGCTAAATCTAAGTCTCCTCATAGTCCGTTAAGATTGGCTAAATGCCTACAAAGAAAAAGAATAAACTATAAACAAAACAAAGAAAGAAATATCAGCCAGCTAAGCTGACAAAACTACCTGCAAAAGCCGATTCATTGGAACCGGGCGCTTTAGATCCCATATAATTTCTGAGACAGCGCTTAGCTGGCTAGGAGTGAGGGAATATGGTAGAGCCTTCAGAAAACTCTTAGTGAGAGGGGACCATTCTTCAATATAAACGGAATTAAGCACTGGCTTTCTAAACTTTTCCAGCAATACATCTTTCTCTATTTTTGTGCCAAGGCCTTGAAGCATTTGGTACAAACGTGCTAACTGTATGAAAACAAAATTCAACGGACTAACAGATTAAGACTAAGAGTTATGCTTCTGAGAAGACATTATTCAAGAAGCTAGCTACCTGTAGGTAAAAGAACTCGTCAAATATAAGCCTTTTGCGAGCTAAGTCAGCCTCATCTAAAGTCTTGGGCTCGTGAATACCAACGTATGCCTACATTTACCGCAAGGGAAAAAACTAAGAATGAAAAGCAATTGAGACATAAGATTTTGTTGCGGATTAAAGAAGAAGTTAATCAAAAAGTAATGCTTCAAACAGAGAAGCAGGACTTACATCATTAAGTGATGGTAAGCCAAACACTGTAGTGATTTCTTTAGGAATCGGATCAATATTGGCGGGGAGAACCCGCAGAGCCCTATGTGAGAAACGTTGGTGAGGTGTGATAAACAAGCGTACTAATCATTGAAATATGTAATGGCATGCTTAGTTCTAGGAAATTTTTATGATATATGAAAAAAAATTATTTCACTCAGGCCAGTCTTGAAACACTCAATCAGGTCAAAGGTGAAGCTTTTACTCAAAATCTAAATGATTCCCTGATATGGGACTTCAGAACTGCTGTCTCAATTACGTTTATACCGAAACAAATAATGTAATATTATATTAACCAGTGAAGATCCCGGAAGAGAAAAGAGAAACAAAACCTGGAGATGACGTCGCTAAGGAACTTTGGGTTCAACCCTCCTTTTGAAGGGTATATAGGATATGGTCTCCCCTGGGCTCGAAGAGATGATTCTTCCTCATCTTTGAGTACATCAATATTGTAGTCCCTCATTTCAAAATGATCTTCTGCACGTAATGACTTAACCTAGAAGTAGAAGAGATTATCAACAGATTCTTGAATCAGCACAGTTGCCAAATACTTTTGCACGTAAATCTGATGCGTTATTGTTCTTCTATTTTACTAAAACAAGTCCAAGCTTCAAAGTTGACTTGAAGAAGAGAGCTAAAGACTAATGAGGCCGTCTTTTACAAACAAGTAAACTACCTAAGCAAGAGATAAAAATACATACAAAGACAGTAAGCAACGGAATTACCTTCCCACAAACACAAACAAGATCCCCAACTTTATGTTTCTCTTGAATAGCATTAAGAAAGGGTTGCCAGGTAAAGCGAGTCCCCCTAAAAAACTTCTTCAGATGCAAAAAAATTGATTTTCCTGCTTTATCTTCAGTATTATAACTCAGATTCCCCGGAGTTCTGTCTCTGCCTGAGATTTCACAGCTTACAATAACCTCGAGAAAGGAAAATGAAGAGCTAGCTCTAACTCCCCTGCACATGAACCGCGAATTATTCAAATTAGAATTTCAAAAATGTGTAGATGTGGCTCAAGAAAAAGGCGTAAGCAATGCTGATTTGAGAAATTGTCAACAGAAAAACAGTGGTAATATAGAGACGATTTCTTGACAAAGATCTTTTTTAACTATGTTTGAGATGAACTTTTGAATGATTTCCGAAGGAAATACTCACTTGGAAGACAATATTTTGCCAACAAATATCAAGTACTGTCCATCCTCAATATCAACCTGTGCATTCTGCAAATCTGCATAGGTTCGAGGAAAATGATGCAATAGTTTCTTCATCTGCATTGGTAGACAGTATGAAAACTGGGTTTAAGCCTTCCATCAAGGAAAAATTGTTGTTTCTATGTATTTAAATTCCTACCGTGTGAAAGCCACAGGTATCTAGCTGATTGCTGTGCCTCTTACTTAGCCCGGGAATAAAACCTATACTGCTACCAAGGAATTGTTGAGAGGCAGAATCATCAGATGTTGTTTCAAGTTCAGAAACTGTGGTTTGGCTCGTAAAAAAGGAACCATCTGAAATTTCTTCTCTGAGATTGGAAGAATCAACATTCTGAACCTCTGGACACAAGGAAGATAAAGTTCTGGAAAGATTGTCTGGATCAAACCATCCTCCATGGATGGGAGTGGGCAGGAAACTGTTATCAGTTGGCGTTTTAAGAATACCCCTTGGTTCATCTGAAGATATGCTATTGCTGTATAGTTCCACTGGACGAGAATCACCAAGAATGATAGAAGGGAATCTCTGACACGCCAATACAAGATCTTTCTTAACTTCCTCATCAGATTTCTTATCAACAAAATCATCGACATTATCATACTCCATCAAAGCTGCAACCTAGACAGTAGGGTAGAAAACCACAACTATTTGAAATGCATAGAGAAACATGAATACAAATTTGATAGACCAATAAAAGAAACGAACAAAGCTGGCTTTTTTACCTTGCTAATCAACTTGGACTGATTCTCGAGGCGAGCAGTGGCAAACTTCTCAACTTGGTCGAGAATATTGTCAGAAAATTTATGCTTTGAACGATAAGATATGTTCCAGACTCTGGGGAAGAAGAAATTACTCAACCTACAGAATCAGCTTCATCGATTCATTCCCAGAAAGAACAAAAGGAATCAGAGAATATGAGGATGATGATAAGAGAAGAGAGAGAGAGAGTACCTCATTCTATTCCAGCTTCCTCTCTGAGCTTGGATTACAATCACACTACGCAATCTTCTACCAGCACAACACTGAAACAAAATTATTCAGAGAAAGAAAAAATTGACATGAGAGAGACGTTTCTCCGAGGAAGCACAATCATTAGATACAAAAACGAGTACAATACCATGCCACAGGGTTGCACCATGGATAGAGTCACTGCCGCCATTGAAGATCAAAACATGGCTTTCCTGAAGATTTTTCGAAAGGGGTTTCTGAGGCTAATCAGAAACACTTCCAGACAAATCAGGATCGAGCTATAACTGACTGAGCAACCACACGCTTAGAATTTCGTACTATGTCTCATAAGAAGACTTCGCTGGGAAGAAGGACCTCAAATTCACCACGAATCCAGTTAAAGTTCGAGTCTTGAGGGTTTAATTTCTCTTAAATCTTCAATTAAATTACTTATTTAACAACTAAATTAACTTGTGTTTTCCATGTATGGCTAATTTTATTGGTTTTTTTTTTTTTTAAATGGATTCATCAAATCATAATTAAGTTTGAAAAAATGTTAATCAACGTTGAATCTTGAAAATACTCATTAATCATTTCTTATGAAGATTATGACATTACTATAGTTTCTTTTAGATAGATGAACTTTTTTTTATGGTTATCATCTCGTTTCTAGTTTCTTTGTTAATTTAAGAAGACATGATACATTTTGCATAGATTTGATTATGTAAGGTTTTTCAGACAAGTGATCTCCTGCTAGCGTTAGTGTAGACATCAAAATCTAGCATTAGGCAGATGAATGGGTTGATGATAATACATACTGCATGATTCTACAGAGTAAGTAAATAAATATATGAATTTCAAGTTCCAAGAGAAACCATTACAACACGAGAGATTCCAATATGACAGAGAACAAGCGAGACTGAGAGAGAGAGAGAGAGAGAGAGCAATGAAGAAGAAGAGAGTTACATGGACAACTCAGAGAGACACCACATCATCATACAATAGGCAGAACACAATCAATGGTTTGCTGCTAACAACTTGAGAATCAATTTTTCTGACTAAGACACTGCGGAGGAGACACCCACACATCTGGAAGCACAGATACTATCACTCCTCATTAGACATGCAGACCGTTTTACCGGTGTTGCTGCTGCTTTGTCTACTTGTGTTGTCTTCTGTGACGATAAGCCAGTTGCTGTGTTTGGAGTCTGTGGAGGTGTAACCACCACTAAAGACGAAGACGACTGGGTATGAACCGAATCAGAACCTTCATCTTCTGATGAGCACACCCGTTCTCTGCAACAAAACCCACAACAGGGTTAGAAATTTAGAATAGCCTGATTCGCTTATACTCATCATGGTGGTTCAGTTTCAAGAAGTAACTAACTCACCTAGGGAGTGACGTGTACTTTCTCTGATGTGGTGGAGAGTTATGTTCCTCTTCATCATCGTCGTGTTCTTCGAGTCGGGCAAACTCTTGTTTGATTTGATCAACTCCGCTGGAGTCGAGATCGATTCACAAAGATCAGACAAAAGTTATTTTTATTAACTGAGCCAGGTTTATTGGGAAATTGAGTCAAACCTCGGGTATAGAAAATGAGAGTTAACGTTCTCTTCTCCTTGTAAATACTCATGCAACATCTGTGGATGATACTCCAAAATCTGTCTCATACACACAGAGAGACCAAAGAGAGTTTTGAGAGATGCCAAAAACTCCAAATAAATTTTCATTCTCTTAGGCATATATATCCTTGACAGGTTCTTATTTACCTCTCGGTACATGAGCTCCCTCACATCATCCCGAGTTAATTTCCTCCTTTCGAACTCAAACTCGAGTTTCGAGATAGGTTGCCTCGAGGGTTCATAGTCCACATTTGCCAATCCTTGAAAATACGGATCAGCCAATGCCTGAGGAAAGAAGAAAACAAAAGCATCAAGAATCATGAAAATGAATGTAAGAAAACAAAAACAGATAACATTTTTCAGGCTGTTTTCCTCTTACCTCTTCTGCAGAGGGACGGTCCTTAGGGTCAAAAGCGATCAAACGCTGAAGCAACTTCAGCGCCACAGGATCGATATTGGGGAATTTATGGGTGAAAGGAACAGGATCCTTTCTCCTCATGTTACCCAAATACTTTCTAGCCTTCTCATTCCGAATCTACAGATTCATTATAAACAACTTGATGACACACAAAACTAAAAAACACTTGCACCCAAAGCAAGTCTATCTGGGAGAGAGAAGCCTCTGTATTGGGACTTAGTTAGCTTCCGGGAAAAATAAAAACAAAACAAACCCTGGATAGAGTTATCGGCGACGGTGTTCCAAGCAGATCAGTGACGAGCTCTAGCTGGTGCACAACGTTTTTGCCAGGAAACAAGGGTTTTCCAGTTAGCATCTCGGCAAATATGCAGCCAACGCTCCACATGTCAATTGCCGGAGTATACTGCACAAACATATCAGTTCCATAAGCTCACACATCACATTATGATTAAGGTTTCATATGGAAACGGAACAAGACATAAGGATTTCAGAACTTTACATTAGAATAGAAGGAACCACAGAGCTCTGGCGCACGGTACCATCTTGTAGCAACATAGTCCTTACAAAAGCGAATGACAAGATTGAGCAAAAGTATCGAACCATTTCAAATGGAATGCTTTACGACAAACATACCTCTCAGTTAAAGAACAATAAACTCAAACTGAGTAAGCATATTTACATAAACATATGAATTGGGACACAACTCTGACAGAGATAGAAAGATACATACAGTCCAGAAAACGGCAGAAGGGGAGTCAGTGAAGGAGACACGAGCAAGTCCTAAATCACAGATCTTGATTTTGCAATCAGCATTAGCGAGGATGTTCTTAGGCTTCAGATCTCTATGGAACACATGAGCTATAAGACACAAAGAAACAAAAGGAGCCAAAAGATTACGATACAAAAAAATTCACAGAAAGGCCACAAAATGTCAAGAGGGAACAGTGAAAGAGCAAAAAAAAAAAAAAAGGACACAGTTAAAGAGAGAGGGAACCAAGAAACCTTACCTGAGTGCATGAATTTTAAGCCACGAAGAAGTTGGTACAAGAAGAATTGATGATGCTGAGGAGTGAGGTCGTCATTTACCTTAAGAACGTGGTGAAGATCAGACTCCATCAACTCAAAAACAACATAGATGTCTTTGAACTCCTTGCGGCAAGGAGGGAGCATGATATGTTTGATCTCGACGATATCAGGATGTCGGAGAAGCCTGAGAAGCTTGATCTCTCTGAGGATACGGATAGCGTCAGAGACATGTTCAAACACATTGGTCATCTTCTTGATGGCCACTTTGCCACCCGTGTGAGGACATTCCGCTGAAGCAACAACTCCGTAGCTTCCTTTGCCCACCACTTCTTGGATCTGATATTGGCTTGCTTCACCGTACTCCGTGAAAAACTCCTTCTCCAACATCTTGATTTTTTTTCACTGCTAACAACAACATTTCATCATTTAATTCATCAACAAAGAACAAAAAGAACTTTCTTTTAAGCTAAAAATCCCTAGATCCAAAAATTTACAAATCATTAGATCAAAACCAACGCTGAAAACATCAGTAACGCAATACCTAGATCAATTGCTCTAATTTCAGCACAAGGGACAACCCTAATTTTACCAAGAAAATGAAAAAAAGAGAAAGGACAGACCTTTTAGATTACCTTTGAAGAAATTTTATTTCCACGAAGCTGCAGACGAAGAAAATAGATAGATTGACGGATATGTCTGATGTAAAATAAAAAGCACGGGGGGCACACGCTTTTATATAATAAAATCCGCTTCAAGACAAAACAGCTCATTTCAGTTTTTGCCGATTACTCTTAATTCGTACATTAAACACCTTTTAATTATGGGGAAAATACCTTCTTACAAGTTGTCTCAGATTAAATAAAAGTTAGATAAGACAAAAAAATAAAAATCCTGAAAAGAACTTTTTTTTTGCTGATATAATCTGACAGGGAGAATGAGATGGAGGATTAAAAAACAGAAATGGGCTTTAAAAATGACTGTAATAACTAATAACTAATATATAGTAACAAATTAGAAAATGAAGATGGAATAGGAAAAGAGATTAAACAAATACCTAAAAATGCGAGCCATACCTTATCTTATCCTCGAGTGCCAAATTTCACGGAATAATTCAAAAAAAAAAAAACAGATAAGATACGTTTATACTTTATATATATGTGCTCGAGTTATGGAAGACACGGCTCGTTTGCCTCTTCTGTCTTTTTCATCTACTCTACTTGAATCTTTGATACGACTTCGTTTCTCAATATATTTTGAGAGAACTCTCCAGGAAAGTCTCTCTGTTGTGCTGCAGAGGTGTCCGAGTCACTAGCTCCCACCATTGTTGACCATCGTCCAATATCCTTGTAAAACGCTGCGTTTTTGTGCCGGTGTGTAGTAGGTGCTCAGGACTCAAGTTGGTATAATGCGTTTTGTGTTTGCTGGCTTTGTCCCTTCATTACTCCAGTGGGCCGTCACCGTTTACATTATATTACATTGTCGCTGTTAATTAATTTGTTGTATAATATAATCACGGTCGTTAACTTTCCACGTAACAACACGTCAACTACATATACACTTGGCTTGGGTAGTTTCTTCTTTTCATCTTTTAGTAAAAGAAAACAATCCATTCAATATTAACGGTGGACATGTACATGAACAATATTGTGAGATACGTTAACTCTCTAAAAGGTAGAATGATACACATTCGTGAACAGAACAAAAAAGCTAAGGTAGAACAAAATCATTCTTCTACCGATTACCAAGCTCAGACACAGGCATAAAGTATACTCACACCCATCTCTGAGTTTCATGCATTTAGAGATCGATGGTTTTTGAAGTTCTGAGCCAACCCGATCCAACTAAATTAAAGAGCCATCATAACTTAAACGCATTTATCCCAATGCCAAATATATAGAATCGTATGTTGTATATGATCCAAGTAAGAGATCGTACGTAGTATTGTAGTAACATACTCATCAATTAATCAGAACTATACATATTAACATATGATAGGTATATTATATAGGATCAATCGAAAGTACGAGATCATATTATCATACTCAGCAGACAGCTAACATCAATATATACTGGTATGGTACTAGATAACTTTTGTTATTTCCCCCTTCCCGTCAACTACTATGAAATGTCGTATAATTTTCTTTTATGAATACAGTAAATTTGCATTTCACAATTCCGCTTAATTTTAATTTTGAATATAATCTGATAATACTATATACTAATATTTTCTGTTGTTTTATATTTCACATCTAAAGTCAACTTATATGGAAATTAATAATCTTTGCCAAAAGTCAGATATCTTTACTAA